TCAATAATGCATTGCACAGTGAGAAAAATGAAGATTTCTGAAATGTATATTAGTTCAGCTTTGCCTCTGAGAACTGGCCAAGTATTTCTCCCTTGCTGATGCTCATTTCAAAGAGTTCCATAAAATATTTCTAAATATTTTAAGACCACATGTGTCTGAACTCTAATGATGTTTATACTCTCTACTGAACATCTCATTTTGCACTTGAATATGAGTCAAAAAATAGGTTTTTAGAAATAATACTTAGAAACCATTTACAGACTGTTAAAGTACATTTCACAGACACATAGTCCAATTTTAGTATGTGTATGTAATTAAATCCCTTTTAATATTTATAGATATTTGAAAAAAATGTGTCCTCTTTACCCCACCCCTTCCCTGAAATCGCATAATACTATTACACCATGAAACATAGCATGAATACTTTTTGCTGTGCACTGCTAACCAAATGTTCTAGAGAAAACAGTGAACTGATTTACTTTATCATTAACTCATCTGGGGAATGATTATGTGTAGCTGCATTTCTGGAAAGAAGGTAAACTGTGCATTCAATAGCAGTTTACATGGACCTGTAACTGATTATTGGTGTCTGATAGGAGCATTAACACAGTAGAACAACCTTGATGCTGACCTTGATCTAAGGTGTAGAAGTGCCAGGCAGGAGTGTTTACATTCTGCATTCACTGCATTGTTAAGCTTTCTGATTCCAATCAGACCATACAGGATCAGAAGGTCATAGTCTGAGAAGCAGCAAAATTACCCTCAGAATAGGAGAAAGTGGGCCAGCAACTCCCTATGGGCAAGAATCTTGTTCAGTGTTCTACTTCTGTACTTTCCTTTCCCATTCTGCTGTCCTTGCTCTCAAAAGACTTACAGAAATTATGGACACACCAGATAGAAGGTGAACACAGGTGATGCGTGCTGTTTGCAGTAGTTATACTCTTATGAAATCACCATGAGCATGGAATTTTTGGATGTAGAAGTATTGCTGCTAGGAAAAATATGGATATGTGTGTGTATAGAGAGACACATATCGAACCAAGATTATAATTTTAAATCCTAAAACCAAAACCAACTCATATTGGTAGATTTCATTTTCTTTTATTTTACAAAAGAGCAAAAGGCAATTAGAAGTGAGTAGCCTAAGACCTCTCTACTAAGAGGTATCAGAGTTGGGACTCTAGCCCTCCTCAGCTGGTCCCTAAGCAAGAGCCTCCACTGTCATCCTCATTTTGTGGTTATAAGAGTCAAGACACAAGGCGGAGCATCACCTTGATCAACCTCAGCTGGGTGTGCTCAGGGCAATTCACATTGCTCTGTGCACATCAGAGGCAAAAAGGCCGTAAGTATTTACTTAAGGGTTACACATAAATATTTTAAAACTTTTTACCAAGTAGAAGAATTTCTACATAAATAATGAGGGCAGATTGAATGCAATTTTGAATGACTTAGCCAGGGTTAGGAGATCCTGAAAATAGTCTTTCTACATCTTATGGCTGGTTCCCTTCTATCACTCAAAGAACTTGTCAGAGAGTTCTTGTTTGACGACCAATAAAAACCAGCCCACTCTCAGCTGTTTGATCATGTTATATAACTGTAGCTTTCTTATATGACCATCATGAACTGAAGTTTTTGTTTACTTTTTCCTCCCGTTTCTTATATGAAAACTGTGTGATAAAGGAGACTTTATCTGTCTTGTAACTCACTGTATGCTGTATGATACACTAGTGGAACCTAGTAGCTATTGTTCAATTAAGGAATGAATGAACAACTGAGTACAGCATTGTAAAAGTAAGAGTTGCAAGTATTTTTTAAAAGTAGGATGCAATCTGGAATTTTTAAGAGTAGCTAAGACTCAATATGACATTGGTTATGGCACTCATAGCCTCAGATAATGACTTAACACCTATAAAAGAGGTGATGATAAATTCTTAATTTGGAAAGAATTGAAATTTTACCAACCTTTCAAGGAATTGGAAGTATGTTGCAACGAAATGAAGCTAATTCTAAAGAATGGTGTAAACACTGAGAAGACGAGGATGCAATTCAAGAGGAAAAAGAAAGCTATGTATAGTGAAGGTTGAGCACATAGGCAAGGCCAAAAGGGAGACTCTCAAAAATGATGAGTCTCTCAGGTACAGGGGCTGATGTGATATTTGTTTATCCATATGCTTGAAAACTGTAGCAGTGAGAAGGCTGGTGTGGCTGAAGGGCACAATGTTAAGCTATATTTTGTTCTGAGAGGTGAAGGACTTTAAAGAACCAGGCTCCCAGAAGTGGGCTACAATATCTCCTAACATTGGGCATCGTCCCTAATCTGCACTGCTCTCTTGCCTTTAGTTTAGGGGCTAAAAATAGTCTGATTACACAAAAATGGAAGTGTAGGTTGAGGTAAGAAGGTTTGGAGATTATTCCCTGCATCTTTAGGTGGGCCCTACTCAGAGCACTTGTCAGCCACAGTGATTTCTGAATAAAAAATGTGAATCCAACATGAAAGCTAATGTTTGAGGACTAGAAACACCTGAACATATATATTTCAAATTACCCATAACTTGCTATATTTGAACTAATGACTCACATAAGAAATGAAGTCCAATAAAACCATTAACTCTTTTTAAGTGACATAAATAGCAATATTGTAGTACAGTAATTTCAGAAATACAGAATAATATTCAACTTATTTTATTGGACCTTTGGAAATATAAGAATGCTAGAATTAACAAAAATTTGGAACTTCATCAAAGTAGAGAAAGACTCAACTTTCCTGGTTTTAAAGAGAAGTTCAGTCCATATTCTTTAAAAGATCTAGGGAAAATACTTGGCCTAAAATGAATGTATCATGTTCCCAAATTTCTGGGAATTTACAATTTTGAGGTGATGGTGATTGTGGTATCAGATTTCTCAGAACATATTTGGCTCAACAAAGTGGATTTCAGTTTACTATTTTGGTGAAGCTACCTATCCATCCTAAAATTCAAACAGACAAAATTTAGGCTAAATTAAATCTCATTTACAATGATGACTTGGATACCTTATGGACATGAGTAACTCAAATTCAACAATTTTGAGAATAAAATGGATCCCATTAAGGGGAAAGATCAGGGTAAGGGGAATTCTGGTTATAATAACCAAATAGAATTCTTGCTGAAGCCAGGCCAAAGGTGATTAGACATCACTTGGGATGAGGTAAGAGATGAAGTTCAGATATTAAGGTGACCAGAAATGGAGGGTGAAAGGTTCCTGATAAACCAACTTAGCAAGTTGCTCATTAATTTTATTAAAAAATGCACAGATGGGCCTAGGAGAAAAGCCTGACTAAAGTTTGTTCAAGGAAAGAATCTGAGTCCATGTTACATTCCAGAAATTTCACTTCCTCCGTCATAATATGCTCATGTCATCGATATGATTCCTTCCTTTTACAACTCAGTTATGGTCAGTTATTAAATTCACCTTGAAGTCTAAAGGAAAGATAAGTAATTTATTGAGAGTAAATTTCAATTAAAGATTTCAATATAAAGCTGAATTTTACCTCAAAAGAACTAGAAATAAAGACATAAACGTAAGACAAAGTGAGCTCAGTAGTTATCTTCCTTGAGACTTTAGCCCGTCCCACATTCTGCATTTGCCAATCAATGCATTAAAAGCTTTTTTGTTAACTGAATAAACATTCAGAAAATACCTCTGCATGCTGATATAATGTAGGATATGATGCCATGCTTTACTACAAATGGCTGGTGACTATCACTTTCTCAATAATATGTCACAAATAGTCCATATATTGTATTTGGTGATGAAAGAAACAAAATTCAAGGGATCCTGGGTATCTGGAATCAGCACATGGTTTCTCTGAGTCACGATCAGTGGATTTTTTGCTCATGACCCCATTTCCAGTTTATCTCATTCATAAAGCATGAAATTACTCCAGTTAAAGCCTCCCAAATCAAAAGGTCTCTCAACTGGGTTTTGTCTCCCTCCAGAGATATGCTTGAATAATCAGTGCATTATCCTTCTTCTTAACATTACAACTTCAGCAGTTGTGCTAAAATAATAACATGCATATATGATGTCTACATATCCTACAGCTGTGATTTCTGGGTTTCCCTTTGTGAATAACATTTGAGAATTGTCATGAGGCAGGAAAAATACAATGTACAGAGTATATTCCAAGCCCAGTTGCCCAGAATAAGCTAACTGTAACTTGCCTTTATATATGAGTCTGAAAGTTTGCAAATATAATCCATTCTGTCACGATCCACCTTTTCACAAGAAAGAGATGCTTTCATTGTAGAACCTTGATCTTGAAGTATACCTGGAGTAAAATGTAAAACTATATCAGAAGACTAATAAGATATCAAACCATCCTTTTTGTAATTTTTTATGTTTTTATAGGGATTAAATACAAATTTTATATCCGTAATTAAATGTTAAATAACTATGATGTGAGTTTTGCACATTTCTTTTGGAAAATTTCTCCAAAAGTTATTGATGGTAGTCTGTCTTCCATAAAACAATAAGTATATATATATATATTTTTTTTTTAATTTTTTATGTATACTTTTTTTTTTTTTTTTTTTGGTATTGGGGATCAAACTCACGACCTTGCACTTGCCAGGAAGGCGTTTATGCTGCTGAGCTAAATCCCCGGCCCACTTTTTATGTTTAATAAGACAAATGTGAACACTTTTTTCAAAATATGAAGACAAAAATTACAAATGTGTTTCACTTCATATGTCAATTTCTAACTGGTTGTTAGTAGCTGTGCCCATGTTGTATGTCTGGCTTGACAGAAAAGATTGTTATCATTAAATAATACTTTCCAAAGATACAATATAGGAAGTGGAACTATATATCCTATATTTGCCATTCTTTCACAATAAGAGGAAGAATTAATATTTAAAATATATTTGAGAGGTAATAAAAACATATTACTTGATATTAAAAGAGCATGTAACTGAAAATAAAAGCCAAATTAATGCTTTTCATTTTTTTTCATCCTGCAGGTCAATGCATCACGTCAAGAAGCCAAACTGACAGAGGAGTGTGATCTTCTCATTGAGATCATTCAACAAAGACGACAAATCATTGGAACCAAGATAAAAGAAGGCAAGGTATGACTTCTAGGATAGGAGGTTTTGTGCTCTCTACTGGAAAATGTTCTTTACTGAAAATATGTTCTTTGCTGGCAAAAATACGACATAATTTTAAATTTTACTATTTCACTGGCTTTGTGAATTGCAAGCACCTTTTTTTCCTGCACTTTTTATAATTCCCTCTGAAGTCTTTGTCTTAGTCTATTTCATGTTGAATGCTTGTGTGTTATGATCACTGAATCTATCTCATGTGTCTAATATTTTAGCAATTAGGACAACATTAAATAAATTAGAAATGAACCAGAATTTAAATACTGAAATTATAAAGCACTTCATATGCCCTTGGGAGAATTCATATAGCTATAAATTCATACTAGCAAAAATTCTTATTTTCATGGTATCTTGTACTCCTCTGTGGATGTATTAATAGTGTTTCTTTTCTGTTGCTTGTATGTTTTAATTTTTGTGACTTTGCAACAAGCTGTAATTGTAATTTTAAATACTCTCATATCTTCAAAAGCTTTGGTATCTAAGAATGTGTTGCTTTATTCTGCTAACTTCTGCCTAGTATCTTGGATTTTGGCAAACAAGCTTTAGGTATGGGATTATGGAACAAGTCAATAGTTGGTTTAAGGACTGTGACATACTTTTTCTGATAACTCACAAAACAAGAGCCTGGAAACGCACAGACAAGATCAAATTTCTGAATGCTGATGCTGAGGGCTGTCAGATAGAGTTGTCTGATGGGAGGAAGGAGAGGAGACATAACTTCCATTCTTCACAACTGAAACTCTAAGCTCAATTCCAAAGCAAATAAAGGAATGTAAAATTCCTAGAAGTATTGCCAACAAAGTCAGCAATCCACGTTGCCTTAGAGTTGAAATTACTTTTGTGAGAAAAAAATGAAAAAAAAAAAGAAAGAAGAAAGAAACTATTCAAAAGAAATAGTTTTCAATGGTTCAAAGAGATAAATGAAGGAATAACTTTGATTCTGAAAGAGAAAAATGTGAAAACATGAAAGAAACAAAATAAAAATAGAAAGCAGCAAATGAGTGGTTTTGAAGGTAAATGTAGACACTTATAAAGGAAACAGCTGCAAAAGAAATTTGGAAACTGAGTTTTGGCCTCTGCCTATGAAATTCTGTATGTGCAGGAAGACACAAAACAGTCAGTGACATGAAAGCTGGATAGACAGCCACTGAATTTGAACTTGATGGTGAGAAAAGAAGATACACTTTGTTGAAAGGACTATATCAGCAAATTTTATAAAGATTGAATAATGCCGAGTAACCCCTTCTCTAAGACCATGTATTATATCTAATTATATTTTATCTTCAATAAAATAATAGTTTTTACATTTGGAAACTTTAAAATGTGTTCTTATAAGAGGCCAGGGATATAGCTTGGTGGCATAAGTGCCTGTCTGGCAAGCACAAGACCCTGAGTTCAATTTCTGGTACCAAAAAAAAATGTATTCGTCTAAAAATACATTTTCAAAATAGTTGTATTAAGTTATAAATTTGCCACAATGAAAAATCTATACCTAAGCAGTAAAATGGTATTTGAAGGCAAATTCATAACAATCGTTTTTTTTGGTACCAGGGATCGAACTCATGACCAAGGCAGGTGCTTATACCACTGAGCTAAATCCTGGACACAAATTCATAGCAATATATTCCTTAAAGAAATGAAAAGAAAGTATATTAGAAGTATGACAATAGTTTCTTATAGAAAAATGTAAAACAAAATTTCATAACAAAATAACAGGAGATTAGCAATAGTTGAAATACCACATGTTGTTATCGTTAAAGTAATTCCTCAGGGTACAAGATATGGGTGTAAAATTTCTCCAATGAATATTAGCACAAACTTTCATGAACTAAGAGACACTAACAGTATAGTTGACTTGCTTTTTCCCCTTTCCTTATTGTCCTTTTTACTTTCACCTATCTTTGTTCCTTTCTACTTTTGAACAATCTCTTACCATTTTGCAATATCTATAGTATGCTTTAGAACTCACTCTTTCAATTTCTCATACAAGGGAGACAATATAATGTTTACCCATGTGAGTTTGATTTATTTCATTTATGAACGTGGTCTCTAGTTGCATACATTTACTTATAAAACTCTCAAGTTTATTCTTCTTTATGGCTGAGTAGTACTCCATTGTATAAAATATATCTTTTTATCCATTTCTCAGCTGATGGGCATCTGGGTTTTTTCCAAGAATTATCTGTTGCAAATTGTGCTGCTAATAAACATGGGTACACACATATCACAGCAATTTGATGTTTTCAATTTTTCTAGGAATATACCCAGAAGCAGGATGGCTGGGTCAAATGGAAGTTCCAATCCCAGCTTTTTGAGAAACCTCCACACTGATTTCCAAAGTGATTGTACCAGTCTACACTTTCATTAACAATAGAGAAGTTTTCCTTTTCCCCCACAGCCCCGCCAACATTTGTTACTGGTTAATTTCTTGATGGCAACCATTCTTTCTGAAATGAGATGAAATCTTAGCATTGTTTTCATTTGCATCTCTTGAATGACTGCTGATGTTAACATTTTTCATATATTTATTTTCCATTTGTATTTCTTCATCTAAGTGGTGTGTGCTCATCTCAGATGCCATATTTGGATTAGGTCTTTGAATTTGATTGTGTTTTGGATTTTTTAAAAAATTCTTTATATGTTATAGATAGAAGTCCTTTCTTTGTCTGAGGGACAATTGGTTAAAATGATTTCCCACTCTGTGTGTAAGACAATAGTTTTTAAGTAAAGTTAAAGAAAGCATAAAAAAGTCAATGAAAGAAGAACAAAAATAATAAACAAAGAAGTAAGTGAAAACAAAAAGAAAACACAGAGTCAGCAATGAAGAGCTCATAGCCCAACACTGAAACAATTATGAATGAAAATGAATTTTTCCTTAGCTGTATTTTTTTAAAAAAGAATAAAAACAGTGATACAGAATTTCCAAACAAAATAATAGGATATTAACAATGGTTAATATATTGCATATTGTTATCTTCAAAATAGTTTTTCAGATTACAAGATATGACATAAAAAATGTTCAACTGAATAATGAAAAAATCTTGTTAAAAAAGAAAAACAGAAATATATGTATGACAAAGATACTATGCAATCTCCCAAAATTAAAATATCAGCTATCTGGCCATTACAGAAAAAGCTTTCCAATCCATATTAAGAGAATTCATACTTTTGTAAAAAGTAACTCGTGAGGGCTGGGGATTTAGCTCAGGGGCATAAGCACCTGCCTTGTAAGCAGGCGGTCGTGAGTTTGATCCCTGGCACCGATAAAAAAAAAAAAAAAAAAAAAAAAGTGTAAGAAATTTTTTTTAAAAAAAGTAACTCGTAAAACAAAGCTGTATTCGCCCTAAGTAAGGAGAATGTATGGGGGGGGGGCAGGGGGAAAGGGGGCTAAAAAATCTAGTTTCAAGACAATATAGATTTTTTAAACACAAATATTTACCAATTTTTATAGCAGTAATTTGAATACTTGAGTAAATACGTAGTAGAAAACTTGAATAAGCCAAAAAAAGTAAAAGGCAAAGGATATTTAATTATTAATCGCACATCTCCCACAACTCACATTCCCTAACCACCAAAAATAACACCGGATCCCAGTTAATGAGCTGATAATTTCATTCTTCCATAAACTGTTTCAGAGAATACAAAAGGACTCAATTTATGCAGATTTTATGACCTTGATATCAAATACAGACAACATTTTAACAGAAGATGTGTGCACAGTAAAAGAATAGAAAGAAGTATTTTAGACCAAAAACTAGAACATGAAATCATAAAACAAAGACTGAAACATAAAAAGGAGTGACTATTTCACATTGGAAAAGTGGTCACATGTATGTTTTAAGTATGTGCAGTTTATCATATATTAATTGTATCTTACTAAAGCTGATGATAATACATAAATTATATATTATTCAATGCTAGCCTTCAGAAGTTAAAACAAATGAACCAATCACTATAGTAATATATAGTAGCCTCCACAAATACAAAACTTGGGGAAATTTTATGATTTATACAGAACATGAAGAATTGTGTAACATTTGATAAACTTCCCCTGAACCCCGTGCATTGTTTAGGCATGAGTACATCAATATGCTTAGAAATTCACAACTCTGAGTTGGGAAAAATCTTTCCTTCTGGAGAGATATAAATGAGATCTTGCAGGGCCACCAAAGGCAGTTTGTGCTATAGATATTTTACCTCTTCTTGAAAAATCTGGTTGATACAATGAAAATATTGAGATTGAGTAAAACTGGATGCACAAGACCGTTCATCATATTTTTTTTTTACATTTTTCTGTACATTAAAACTTTTTCACTTTTCAAAAAGCATGTTATTTGCTCAGGGACATTATTTTAGAGGGCAGTTACTAGGAGGCAGATGTTACTTGGGAAAGAGGAGGACCCAGCTCAGCTTTGCTTTGGGTTACTATTTGAGGAAGGCCTAATTGACTCCAAAGCCTGGAAGGCATAGTGACCTGAGTCCCTGTCCAAGGCATTCTGTGTTACTAGCATATTTCCAAGAGGTAAAACATAGCCACCAACAGCCTGGAAATCTGGGGTGCCAGACCAGGAGGGAAAGTGTAGGCCAGGGACTCACTGGGGGGTTTGGTCCCTATGGCCCAGAATGGGGCCAGGCAATCTGAGTGCAGAGTCAGGGGCAGGGACAGTGCAGTCTCTGAGAAGCACTTGGTAATGTGAGGCTAGAGGGAGAATAAGGCACAGTTGTGACCATTAAAGTAAATTTCGTCAGTCTCTTCCCTTGGCCCCTGATCCCGGTAACCAGACAGAAATCTGCTCGCCTCACAGCCTGCAATAGGAGAGGTTGGCAGTGGGTGACAAGTGACATATTAGTACATGCTGTACTTTCTGCTTTCAGACATTGTACACACTCTGAAAAAAAGAGCTCCATGGTCTTTAGAGTTGCACAGAAGGAAGTTTCTGGCCGGGGGACTGCCAAGGAAAGGATTCTCTGTTTTTACTCAGTGTTAGGGTATGTGGGTATGTTTCATGTCACCCTCAAGAGCTGATGGCAAACTCCTGATGACGTGAATCAGTGCACTTGACATTCAGACAAATAGTAGAATACAGTAAGTCTCGAAGTTAAGAATGAGTCCCATTCAGGGAGAAGGTTCATAAGTCAGGTTTGTTTGTTTGAGTGAATCTTATACAACATTTCTTTAAAAGGAGAAGAAAAAAAAACCCCAAAACAGTATAAGGGTACAAGTAATACAGAATTTTAAAAAAAGCAGTAAGAAATCGCTAGTTAATAAATTACATATTGTCATTTTAGAAATAATTTTTCAAGTTACAGGATTAAAGCATACAAAGTGGACATTCGAACAGAGAGACTGCAAACAGTTGTGTTCAATGATCCAACAAAAACTTAGTAATATCGTCATCTTTTTTTTATTTAAAGAGAAAAAAGAAGACATTAAAAAAGCAGTAAAAGGGTACAAGTAATACAGAATTTCAAGAAAAAATATACAGTAAGAAATAAATAGTTAATAGGTTACATAATGTCTTCCTAGAAACAGTTGTCCAAATTATAAAATTAAAGCATATAAAGTAGATATTCATACAGTGATATTGGAGATAGTTCCATTCAATGATCCAACAAAAGCTCAGTAATATAGTTTTCCAACCTACCCACTGAAACATACCTGTGGTTATATCCCTTAGTCCATCTTCCTTTCCTCTCTTTTTTACAATAAAAATTACACTTTCTGGGTTTTATTACTCCCACAGTTCTTATTACTTTTTTTGAAGAGAATACAACCAAATGTGACTAAGCAAAACAGAGTCAGTTAGAACAGAAGGGTGGGCATAGTACATGATGCAAAAATAGAATACCAGGTGATCGAAAGTGGTTACCATTGTGCCTCTTGCTATTTTTAAACTGAGTTGTCTATATCATCAGGTATAATAGAATTGATCAAAACATTACAGAACAAGATGGTCATCTATCTTAACACACCTAAAAACACTTGCAGTTGTATCCTTTAGAGCAGTTTTTTTTCTTCTTTTTTTACAACAACATTTACACATTTTGGGTTTTATTACTCCCATAGTTCTTATTACTTTTTTTGGAAGAGAATAAAACCAAATATGACAAAACAAAGCAGTCAGTCAAAACAAAGGGAAACTTATCCAACTTTTGCAAAATATGCAATATAAGCCATAAAAAAGAAGCACACACATGAAAATGCTGTAAATAATTCTTCTGGACATTCTGGGCTCTGCCTCTGCGCTGTACCATAAGCACAGAGTAGCACAACTGTGACAATGTCTGGTAGTCATGTGAGCTAGTTTCGTGATTTGTTCCATCAATGATCATTCCTCATGCGAGGTTCATTCCCAGCTCTAAAAATTTGCAACTTCAGTGTCCGTCTTTCTGTAGTGAGGGCCACAGCCGGCCAGCAAGAGGGTCCCTTCTCTTCTCTGCTTTCAGTGCACTCCTGTTCTTCAAAATTTAAGAGAGTTAATTTAAGAGATGGATTAAACATCTGAAATTTTTGTAGCCATGAAGAGATACTGAGTCCAGGTCTCATGATCAATTCAGACATTTGTTTTCATTGAGAGGATTCATTGTTCAAGCACAACACTTTTGGGGTTACATACCTATGTTAATATATATTAAAAGCATGTAAAACAAAATAAACTTGCCTTTAAGAGTGTGGAAGTGTAATAATAGCAAGTTAAATGATAACAATAGCCCCTGTCTCCCATTAAAAGGAGGTTATAACAGACAAAACATTCCCATGCTGAGTATAGAACAAATTCCAAAGGTTACTCTGACAATCTTACTTCTTAAAGGAAAAGCTAAAAAGTTTCCCCTGCAGCATTAAGATGTGCCTACATAGAATTCTTTGTGTCACTACATAGTATTTCTTTTAAATATTTGTCCTGTTGGAATTTTTAAAATAATATATTAATTTGTAACTAAGTATAATAAGTACGTATTTTATTCAGTGCTATGTGTCAGCATTTTAAGTGTGATAGCACATAGGACAGTTTTCAGAGTGGAGCTCCAGTCAACTGACCAGAATCACTGCCACTAGGAGTTAGCAAACTTTTGTTATGAAAGGCTGATAAGCCTTCAGACTTTGCCATACAGTCCCTATTGTGGCAATTCATTTCTGCCCAGTGACATAGCACAAAAGCAGCCATAGATGTTTCATACCTGAATGAGTGTGGCAGTATGCCAATAAATCTTCATTTACACAAATGGTCTGGATTTGACTCACACATTGCTGGTAAACACCTAACTTATAGCAATGTTTTTTTTTTCTCCTATTAATAATGCAACTTACACTAGGAAGTACATATCTCACAACCAGTGCCCATGCACACACATATACACATATGCACCTTCCTTTCTGTCTTTTCTTTTTTCTTTTTTTTTTTTTACCATACTAGGGATCTATCCCAGGTCTTCACACTGAACCCCAACCCCTTTTGAGACACTTGGAGCTTGTGATACACCTGCCTTAGCTTTCTAAAGGTCTGAGATTACAAGCATGCGCCACCACACCTGGCTATGATAAAATGTTTTTAGGAAATCACACTTGCCCCTTTCTAGGAAGAGTGCCCTCTACTACTTGCTTTTCTCTATATCTGCTTGGTTTTCTAAATGCTGCTCCTGAATGCATTAAGGATTCTTCACCTGAAGATTCAAACACATTCCTTGCTTGCTGAAATGCAAACTCCTACCACTCTGCCAGCTAGGACCCCTTAACCAGAATACTGGGGGGGGGGGGGCACATGCTCACATCTACAGATTTTCTTTAAAAAAAAAAAAGGTCCTGACTGATTTGTTCTCTTTTTTGAACCCTGTGTTTGAGAAGCTCTGATCAGGTTTATCAGATGAAATTGTACATTGACTTATAATGAAAACTGTGCTGCAGTGTTCTCTTGAGAACATTCTGATATTTTCACCAAAGGCTCTTGTTTTGCTTCAATTTATGCTCAGTTTAGGGCTTTTTTCCTGTTTTCTTCATGTGTCACTTTTAATTTGTAGTATTAGGAGAGAAGAAAAAGATAAAAATAGAGTCTATCCATCATCACATTTATAATCTATATGGTCTCTACTAGCCGTATCCAAAGGATAAGTGATTGGCATGAAATTATTCTAAAAGACTTATTTTGTTTTTTTAGAATTGTATTAAGCATCTTCAATTTTGCCGTGTAATTGTATTGTGTGATGAAACATCCCATCCGCTTGGTTTGTTTTAGGGATTATAAATTATTTTCCTCCTGGAATTTTCCCTTCCTCTGACAGTTTCTAATGGGTGTGTTCTAATATTCTGGATTGGACAGGATGGCTTCTTTGGCTTTGCCTGTGAATAGAATGATGCCAAAAGCTAAATTCTGTTTAGGTTAAAATAAGGGTTACTTTCTTCAACTAATGTACACAGCTAATCTGTGGTGGCCAGTAACTACAATTATACTTAGTAAAATCTTTTCCCGGGCTCAACACCACATACTGTATGTCGCAATGTTTTGATATTAGCTCTCTAACTCTCCCTTGGCAGGTTTTCTCACCTTTGCCTGAAATCTTGTGCCTGCTGCCTCTCAAGTCAACACTGACTTCCTTTGTTTGCTGCAGAACATACTTGGAATTGGCTGTCCCTGAGAGGCCTCAAGTTCTGACATCTCTTTCCTTCCTTTTCTTCAATTCGAGTTGTCTGGGGGATGATAATGACGACTTTGAGAAAGAGGGAATTTCTTGGAGTTAGGAATTCTGGAGGGAGCCCGAGCCAGCCTGGTCTGTAAGACACATTAGCCGGTCTCCTCCTTGCCCTTTCACCCCAGGCTATTTTCCATTCAGAATTATCATAAACCCGGCCAAAACCTAGCCCCGGGTGTGTGGATGGGGGCACTAGGCACTAGGCAATTTCAATTAACAGTCTAATTTTAGCTTGGCTCCTGACCAGAGGGCTTCATCTCTCAGTACTTATCAACACTAGTGATGGTCAAGTGGGTTACCTTGGACTTCTCTTGGCCTGCCTGAGAGGTTATGCTCAATTACATTCAAGGGTCATTTTCAAGCAAGACAGAATCAGGAATCGGAATGAAGGCTGTGAAGCAGATATGCCTTTTTATCCCAACTGGGATATGCTTATCAAAATAGTTCTTAGTTATCAAGCAAGCACAAAGTGCCTGGAAATGACGTTCCCAGCAGAGGAAATGGCCCAGCTGTGCTTTTTTTGGCTTTCTCTCATCTGCTCAACCGGAAAAATATTAATCAATGGGAAAAATGCTCCCTTTCTGTTCATTTAACACATGAATTTTAGGTAGTGTGGGAAATGCCTAATACCTAATGCTTTTACATTATAATTTTACTGCGTGAATCACAAAGAACATTTTAGAAACTAGTTTGTACTTAAGCCTCAAATTTGCTCCTGTAGTGATGTTTTATTTTCTTGATAGCACAGCTGAAAGTCTGAGATGAGAAAGTTCCACGGTTCCCTATAGTCTTCTGTTAATTGTGTGGAAAGTGGAGGGAAGAGGTCAGGTGACCCTTTGTAAGTTGCCACTGAGCAACACCTTTTTTTCTCATCAACAGGGAAGCAATTAGTAATTCAGTATTTCCTCATAAAATGAATTAGCGGCACTTCTTTGAGGAGATAAAAAATATATTTAAAACAAGAGTCCCTTAACGGGGCTTTCCAGAATTTGATCTCACTGTATGCTTATTTTCTGAACTTTTATGGAAAGATGACTTAATATGCAATACAGTGGCCACATCTGAAGGGTCCAGCCTGCTCTCTTCACTTAGCGAGCCAACCTAGCTACCTATGTGTCTTCTTGTCTCTTGTTCAAGGTGATGAGGCTTCGCAAACTCGCTCAGCAGATTGCAAACTGCAAGCAGTGTATTGAGCGATCAGCATCACTCATCTCACAAGCTGAACACTCTCTGAAGGAGAATGATCATGCTCGCTTCCTACAGACAGCAAAGAACATCACTGAGAGGTAAGTGAAGGGACTTCTGGGAAATTCTCAGTCTCCTGGTTGCTGGTATGAGGGGTGTGATTAGTGGCCTTGTTCTTGTCTTGCATTTGTTTTCATTTTCAAAGCTGCGTACCAGGGAAAATAGAGGCCTTGAGCTACTTGAGCTAAAAATGCTTCCCTTTGACGCCCTTCAGTAACAGGCTAGAGTTCAAGGCCTTTGAAAGGAGAGTCCACCAGTGAGAAAGAATGAAATCAACCTGCTTTGTGGGGGAGCTTGTGCTGGCACAAAAACAGTATCCTTTGTTACTCTCAGACCGGGTCTCATCATATACTCAGTAACAGAATCAAAATAAAGGTAAAATATAAAGAAGGAATCTTCCATTGCAGGTTATTTATGTAAAAAAATATGGCACAGATGTTGCTCTTTGATGGGCCTGTTTTTATATGATTGAGAAGCTGGACCTCACTAGAGAATGTCCAAGTTGACTAATGCAACAGACAAAGGGTCAAACTGTCATGCTCATACAACCTTCTTTTAAAATATTCTCTACTGCACATGAAGGAACTTAAAAAATAATGTCATCCAAAGGACCAGCTCAGCAGTAAACCTAGAAAGGATGAATATTTCTTTAGCACACCTGTCTGATTGGTATAAAAATTACTCATCTCCATGATGTAAACATCTGTAGCAATTTTAGTGGCTCTATGGAGGAGCACTAAGTTGGGCTGGCTACAACCAAGGCCACACAAATAACATCTCTGAGCAATTGCCAATGACTTTGACTTATCATTCCTTCTGATTTTTGGCATAGCTGCCGTTTATGCAAAGCAAAAGTGTTAGCACCCTATGGTTGAAAGATGCCAAAGAGCTCTTTTGTGACGGTCTTTATCCCAGAGCACAGGCTCTGAAAAGCATCAGAAAGTAAATACCTGTGGCTTTGCAGGTTGTAAGGTCTGGGTTACAACTACTCAACCCTGCCTTCATAGCTCCCCGAGAGCCAGACAATATGGAAACAAGTGGGTGTGGCTATGTGCCAATAAAACCATTTACACAAAGTCTGCAGGTTCGACTTTGCCAGCCCATGGCCTAGGGGAGGAAAAATGCTCACCATCTTAGGACTGGAATGTCCTCAAAGAAAGAAAAAGGAAATTAACATTTATTAAGTGATTGCCTGTGTCAGACACTCTGCTAATAATTCTCAAAATAACATCTAGAGGTAGGTCTTGATATTCCCATTTTCACTGCTCTTTGTGAGTAGTGTACAGTATCTTTATCGTTTTAAACTTCTGCTAGTCACCAAGCTTCATGGTGTTACTTCTTACATTTGAGAAGAATCCTTTTGCAGCGCAGGAGATACTTATCTCTTCTAAAGGACAGGAATAACGTCTGGCTCTCGTCCATTTTATGTCCTTAAAATGTCCCCCTCCCTGCTGTAAAGAGAGGCCAATTTCTTTCCTCGTGACTCCCAGATTCCGAGTGTTTAATTGTTTGCACCACTCTTCATCTGGATTGTGTCCAATCGCTCATTACTCATCCCAAAGTTAAAAACTTCAAACAGCACCAAGGCAGCAGTGGATGCAGGACATTATAACAGCATTTCCACTAGGTCAGTTTCCCAATCTGGAATCCAAGAGTCTGTGTCTCTACTGTTGGATGGGGCAACATCCAGATGAAGTAACTTCTATGAGCTGCATCCCAGGTGACCCCCACAAATCCTGATGAGTGTCACATGAGTAAACTCACCTCACAGCTGAGAATGAGGCCTCTAACAGTTCTGCTGGAAGCACACACTCAGTTGAAGGCCGGCCAGCACAAGCACATGACTGTGCACCTGTGGTCTCCCACAGATCTGGCAGGGTGCATCTAGTCCCTCTCAGCTCTCCTCGTAACAGGCCCATTTCATCAGGAACGGAAACATGACTTTCATTCTCTTTCCATGAAGAATGTGTTGCTGTTGAGATTCAGTGCATAGTGCCTGTAAAAATCTGCTGGAAACCCTTGTCTCTCTGTTTCTGCAATCCCCCTTTTTCTTCGCATCTCTTATTTGTCATAACTTATGGGTAAATTTCTGAACTGTTTGCTTGCCAGGAGCTGGAATGTAATAAAAGCACACTGGGTTTGACAAGAACTTTGGGAGACCTGAGTTCAAATCCTCACAATGTTCCCTTTTTAGTGTGACTCTAAGCTTTTTGCTACTAAGAAACTGGGTTCATAATAGCTACCTGTGTTGTGAAATTTTGTTGAACATTCATCAGAAAATGGTCCTAAGCATCACAAGCATTCTACAAATGCAAGTTGATATAGCATTTCCATATTTCAATGTGGCCTCTCATGTATTCACTGCTGCTATCTACCTGTCTTTTCTTCAACTTGTCATTGAACAGGATTCTCTAGGACACAGTTTCCTGGCTTTGTCTCCTGTTGTGTCTGTCCTGGTTTTTGCTCCTATGTACTGTGCTTCCAGATCATTTTTATTCTTCTACACAAGTGTGGAACCTAAAACAAACTTCAGATCCTACAGGGATTCTTGAAGTGAGATTTAGGTGAGGTTTTCGTACCTCATTAAATCAGGTAAAGGGATATGCTTTCCAATAAGCTGAATCCAAAGTGCAAAATTTGTTTTCAACTCAGAAATGTCAAGCAACCCCAAAAGGAAATAGAGCCACAAGCTTTACATTGTAGGAGATACATATGCTTTGTAACCGACTGTTTAGCTATGTGCTAATTGCCTAGTAGTTATGCATACATTGAGGCTGCTCATTAACACTTCTGAGTCTAATTTTAGTTGTATGCTCCAAGTGGGCAGGATGCCTGGCCTCTTGTTTCCACTATTGTAGTCCCAGGACATTGCAGACTTCCTAAGGTGAGCGAATGAGCCAAAGAATCCATATACAGGGCCAAATTTTCCTACCTAATATAGCTGTTATAAGGATGAAATGTAATAACACAGCAAAAACATTGCTTAACCCAGTTTCTGTCACAAGGTGAATGTGCAACAAATGCTAATTTCCTTCCTTCCTCCTCACTGGGTGAATGTAAATTTAATATATAACACATTATATTCTGAAGCACACTAATACTTAAGTGTTTGGTGTGATTATATGGGTGCCTTTCTAACGTTATGTAAAGTGAGCAGAACTAGCCATCAAATCTCGGCATTAAAAAGTTGCTCTGCTGCTTACAAAGGAGCTAAAAGTAGAATTGCTCTTAGCAGCAAATTATCAAAATGTCCTCTGAACAGGATCCATATTCAGAGCTTCTAGGAGGTTCTCCAACTCCAAGGAAAGCCCCGTGTTCCTCACCACAGGCAGATCAAGGACTTATTAGGTTTTTCTCAAAGATAAAACTAAAAACACCAGTTGTGAGCTCTGGAAAGATGTCACTTTCTTCTTAGCATTAGAGTGCATCTCGTGTGTGAATTTTGAAGTGTAGTCTGCAGAGTGTTAATAAGTATTATGATAACAACAGGGTTCCAGGGCCAAACATTGTTTAGGAAAGGCCGAACTGGTCAAAGCACAACACATTTTGTCACCGTGACACTCACTGTATTTTACCACGTGATATGCTTTGTTTGGCAGAAGTCCTGTAAACAGTGTAGTCTTTCCACCTTCTGGAAGACTGACCCTATGTGGTCACCAACAGTCAAGTGTCCTGGAGGTTAGATTAGAGCCAAAAGCAGAAATATAAGCAGGGAGCAATGTGTACCCTATCAGGAACCTGGCCAAGATCCCCAACTGCCTGTATGAGGGATACAGAGAAGGATAAAATAAGAGACAGACACAAATTCAGTAATGCATGATGAGGGGCAGGGAGGTCAATGCCTCAGGATGGGCAAAGACTCAGATGCTCCAAATCAGTCACTGTTTACTGGGTATGCACAATACAATGGGTGTATTCAATGATAGGAGGGGCTAGCCAAAGATTCCAGGTCTCGGTAGAAGATTCAGAGGTCCATGACACTACAGGCAACAGATAATCCTGGGATGACTCGAGAGGGTGGAGATGATCCGATGCTAAGAAGGATCTGGCTCTGGAGTGTTCTTTTTCATTTTAGTAGTTTTAGATTACTTTTAGTGGATGGGAGAGGATGGCCCATCCCAAGGGTTAATGAGAAGTCTCAAAAGGGTGACACCATAATCTCAAGCCACCATTAATCCCTTAAGGAAGTCTACAAAATTAGCCTTTGTGAATTTTTTGATCCCCAATACACTCCATTCTCTTATGCATCAGGATGGACATAGGCTCTGTTTGCTCCAATATGTTATAACCTACACACACACACAAACACACACACACACACACACACACACACACACACACAAATACACACATCTGCAGGTGTATCCTAAACTCACACGCGGACACAGAACTGTAAATCAAGGAAGTGAGACAGTAGTGTAGCACTAATAGCCCTGGAGAGTATTAGAAATTCATCTAAAAGACTGAAAGATGAACAATGAGGGATTGGGAAATAAAAACATGGCCCAAAATGTTGAATTTGGCAGATTTCCCCTTGCCTGTCACTCCAATAGAGTCTGAAATTATAACCAAAGATAAATATCTCTCCTTCCATCAAGAAAAAGCTGTGTAGGTGTTAAAAGCTGCAGTAATCTCTGAAGATTCTCTCTGCCAGTGTTTGCCTTCCAGGCTGGGCACCTCCATCTTTTTGGTTCCCACACAGTGTTCTTACCATCAAGAATGCAGCCACTTTTAAAATGTCCCTCAATGAAGACATGTTTTATTGAATTCTTTATTGTCCATAGAATTAAGAGAATGTTAGGAACAAAATCTATTTTGGATAAGCCGGAACAAAGCAGCTACTACTGCCACTGGGCAGGAGAAACACCAAAGCCCGAGTATCTGTGGACAGAGTGGTCTGGGCTGTAGAGCACACAATCTGTGCTGCATGTGAGCAGAAGAGCAATGCAATCATAGATTCGGCACTCGTTTCCACAAAGCATAGTGCAGTGCTCCCTATCAGACGTAATGAAAGAGTAAGCGAGGAGGTCACTTTGAAATGCGTTTTTGAGGAATGTGAATGGCACCATAGAAGTTCTTTGCACTGGTGCAACTATTTGGGGCTCTTTTAGTATCCTTTAAGGGCAGCATAAACATGCTTGATGAAAGTTCGGTTCAAAGAAGCAAACATGCTCATGTCCATTATTTTAAATTAGCAGCTGTTAGTATCAATAGCACAATTCCTTTGGGTGCAATTAGCCAATAAAATCACACAGTTCTGCTATTCATTTCATGGTGAATCGATCCAGAAATGAAGTTAGATTCTCTATCCTCGTTTATGTAAGTGAAACTTCTTTCTAGAGATCTTGCCTCTTCAGAGTTTCATATGTGGATCCCAATACTATTCCAATTAGGTTATTGTTGGTAAACTATCTCCTTCCATCCTTATATAACACTAAAAATTTGCCAGGGATACAAACTCATATGTCCTTGTATTTATAAGGATTTTGAACATTTCAAAGGTAATTTCTTATCAAGGTAAAGTTCACCTAAAATAAAATAACCATTTTAGGGTATATAAACTTTCATATTCTGGATATTTGATAGTATAGGGGACCAGAAAACATATGGCCTTTTGTGTTCAGTTATTTTTAGCATGATGTTCACAGGTAAATCAATAGTATAGCATATTTCAGAATCTATCCCTTTTCGTGGCTGAATAGTATTCCACTGTGTGGAATACAGGGTATAATTTTTATAGTCAAAGTATAATATCTTTCTAAAAATCTAATGCTTAAAGTCCACTAAAATATTTAAACATGAATATAAACTCTGGATTAACTGGACTGAAAATCTTCTTTTTAAAGTGGAAGTGTGTCAACCTGAAATTCTCCTGCTTGTAAAATGACCTTGTATAAATGACCATCAATGGTGTTTATTCAAAAATCAGTAACTAGATGTAGAGCTGAATCATTTCAAAGTTGTTTCTTGTACAAAACTTCCCAGTGCCCTCAAGTTGATGGAACTTAGCAAAATACCAAACTCAACAAGATTACATGTGGACTAGTGTGCTCAGAAGTATTATGCTTCCTGCCACGATTCTCTTGGGTTTTTTTTTTTTTTGTTGTTTGTTTGTTTGTTTTTCTTTTTCTTTTTTTTTGTCTTTTTCGTTTTTATCGGTACCGGGGATCGAACTCAAGACTACCTGTTTGCAAGGCAGGCGCTTATGCCGCTGAGCTATATCCCCAGCCTGATTTTCTTGGTTTTTAAGAGAATCATTTGCATCTTTGAATCAGTCAAACTTTTCTGCTGTAAGTAACTTTAAAAATCAACTTTAGAGCACCTAGAAGGAGACTGGTCCATTCGAATGCCTTGCTTCCTGCTTTATACATGAGAGCTCTTGCCAGAAAGCCTGAGACACAGAGGACATCGTGCGGCGACTGGGACGTCTGTGAGAAAGCTCATGAATATTTTTTATGGCATCTGCTGGGAATATGTTGCAAAAAATAAATACGAGGAGAATGAAAATGAGCCATACAAAATCTCTTTTCTTAATGTTTATTTTAGAGGGAGGCTAGTAATTGATTAAACTAATGTGATATCTGGAAACATTCTTTTTAAATCTTTGCTCTGCCTTTTATGCAGTTGGAAATTTGGGAGACACCCCCGTCTGTCCTGCTTTGAAGTGGAGCAGGGGCAAATCTACAGGAACAAACACTTTTCCAGACAGATGTGTGAAGAAATGCCTGGAGCTATATGCTTCTTGCTGGGGTTAGATGTAATGGAGTCAGGCTGTTAAATACACAGCGGCATGAAATATGAATATTCTTTCACCTCCACAGGGAGTTCTTTTTCCGATAGTAAAGAGGAAAGGGGAAGTTATTCTGTTGCTTTTTCCTGCTTCTTCATTAAGCTTCCATTCACTTGATTTGTGTTATTGGGTTCTGCCATCCAGAATTTCTTCCTAAGGCTATGTGTAAAATAGTAACAGTTTTTTAACTATGATATTCCTTTTCCTTTCATCCTTTTATGTTTTTTCATTCCCACACAATGATGGTGAAAGCCGCTTTCATATCACTAAAAAGTTATTCTGTTTCAATTACAGAGTTTCCATGGCAACTGCATCCTCCCAGGTCCTAATTCCTGAAATCAACCTCAATGACACATTTGACACTTTTGCCTTGGATTTTTCCCGAGAGAAGAAATTGCTAGAATGTCTGGATTACCTTACAGGTATTATCTTTTCCATTCTCTTTAATATCGTGTACACTTAGTGATACAAACACTTTGCTACCAGATCAATGTCTTTTCTAAAAACTAGAGGTGCATGCGTTTGGTTTAGAAGCGCTCTCTAAAATTCCTATGAACAATTTCTGTGCATTCTTTGATTTTAACCAAGAGTAAGCTTGGGGCAGGAGGGGGCAAAAGAGAGAATCATGGTCATTAAAAGCATACTTGTTGTCATTTTCCTTCCTCTCAGTGTGGGACGTTAATTATAATAGCCGTGCTAGCCGTCAAAGAGACACATACGATTTTGGGTTTTTCCAGTCAGTAAAGGATTTGACTCTTACAGTACTTTAGCAGAGAAAAATGTGAGCTAACTAAATGGGTATTCACCTTGCTCTGGCTTTTGTGTTTGTGACCCTATTTTAATCTTCACAATACTGAATCCCAATTTGGGGAATGGGCAAGGCGAGCCATCCTGCTGAGGGTCGGACAGCAAGGAAGTGGGTGAATTAGGTTTTGACTCAGATCTATGCAGACTCAAAAGACAGAATTTCATCTTAGCAAATGTCCCAAAAATCACATTGGGATTCCTGGTGCCATGTTAGAGCTCAGTGCTTTTGGTTGTCCTCTTCTGTTTTGGTCAATGCTAGAAAACACCCATAAAAGGGGGGAAAAAAACAGTCTACTCCTATTCCTACATCTAAACTTTTTTTGCTGTCAGCCAGTAAAGCAGAAGCTGAGAATGCTGGCTGGTGGAAAGAGCAGGGACTGTGGAGACAGCATTATTTGTATTAGTTGAAGCAACTAGCACGGTGACTCAGGAAAGCACAGTGTACACAGTAAAGCCAGATGTACACTATACAGAGAACACAGAGCCTCCTTGAACCAATGTCTCTGAGTGTGCTGTCAGCCTCTCAGCTCCCATCCTGTGTGCACATGTTTGTGGGCACGTGGTCAGGAAAGGTGAAGCAGGAGGTGGGAACAGTGTGACATTTTTTTACAGCCTATAGATAGAAGGCAAGGAATTCTGTCTTCAAAGAGCAGTGTACCCAGAAGAACAGGGTTTTTCCCTTACGAAGACACAAGGTGCTGCTTTTAGCCTTCCTTCATTTGCAAGGAAAGTGAGCCATTCCCTAAATTTCTTGTCATATGTGATTTTTTCTTTCAATCATGCAGCTCCTATTTTTAAGGAAGAAAGAAACTGATTCAAAAATCATTTACAGTAAGGTTCCAAACTTAGTCTCAAATATTTACAAATATAGTATCTTCCTTTTTGTGTATTTAAATCTGACATTTGTTTATGTTTTGTTTTATTTTGAGCTAAGATCCAACTATGTAGTTCAGGCTGCCCTTGAACTCACTGTATAGCTCAGACTGGCCTCACTCATGGCAGTCCTCCTACCTCAGCCTCTCAAGTGCTGAGATTATACCCATGTACCACCATGCCTGGCTTAGAGAGTTAGTTAAACTGGTACCGTCTAACAGAATCTTCTTCAATGAGAGAAATGTCCTATGTCTACACTACTCAATATTATTACCCATCAGGCACATGGAGCAATGGAAAATTTGAAGTGTAGCTAATGAATTTTTCCTTTGATTTAATGTTAATTAAATTTAATGAAAATTTAAGCAGCCACATGTAGGCCATAGCTATACATTGAACAGTACACATGTAGACTTTCTCTGGGCTGGTTTTTCCCTCATGGCATTCTGTTTAAAATTTTCCCACTTTTCTAACCCCATTTGGGAATGAGTTTGTTTGCAAGCAACAGAAAATCCAAGTGACAGTGACTCTTTGAGCAGCATTTATATCACAGAAACAGAACTGAGGCATGCCATACAGGGCTGGGAAGGGATTTGAAGATGACCTCAGATAGCAGGTTCTTTCCCCTTTCCTACTGTGCCATCTTTATTCTTTTGTCTTTTTGCTGTGTGATTACAATGTAACTACCTTCTGGCATTATGCCCAAGTTCCAGACATAAAAAAGGGCAGAAGACAAATAGTGAGTCTGTTCATCACAAAAACAAAATATTTCTCAAAAGGTCCACCTAGAGAACTTCTGTTTATGTCTCCTGGGCGAGGTCCACATCCTGATCTCCTTCCCAAGGCAGCAGAAGACTAGAAAATTAAATATTTTCCTAGGCACATGGACATGCTGCCCAAAACTGATGTCTCATTGGCAAAGAAAGTGTCTTCTTATTTCCCTATAACTGCTAATTGTATTCCAACAATATACGCACATTTTCATAGGAATGTAAGAGTATTCATTAATAGGGAAATTATGAAACTAGTATGTGCTGACTATATGACTGTGCCACATATGATGCTGATGGCTCTTTATTAGCCCAAACTAAGGCCATCTGTGGTACCTGCTATCATACCTTCTGAGCTGTCAACTGTAGGTACAAAATCAGTCTGTTTCTAGACATAACATCAATCCTGGCCATAACGAATGATGCATGGTCGCACTGCCAAGTCCAAATAGTTTATCAGACATTTATAAGCAGGAAATGGAGTGTTTGTGCAGTATTAGCCCACCATTCCTTGGGTGGTGCTTGTGGTGAAGGCTAGAAAATAACAGTTCTGGTACCGATATCGTGAGTATTGAAATTGGCAGTGTGCTGCTGCTCTCATTTACAGTAAATTAGGTATTGACTTTTCAGGACAAACCCATTGGGTTTACAATCAAAACAAGGTTAGCCCGCCAGGCTGTGAAAACAAGATTTTTTTTCCTGTGACATGACTCTAAGTGGTATGTCAAGTTAATAACCCGTAGAGGTGACATTTGCTTCCTGATTACGGATCCTGCCATGGGTCTCATAGCTACTTGCTTATTTTAGACTCACATTTTCTTTATAGTTAATCATATAATTACAGTTCATAAAGGACAAAATCTTCCTACAATAGTCAATGGAGAAAAAATTCAAGGGACTATTTAAGACATGAAAGAAGTCAGTTTTCACTGATTCATGCAGGGACCACGCCGACAATAATAAGCACACTTTATGATGCAACTGGGCCTCTATGGAATGCATCTCCTGATTGGTGTCTCTGATTCATGCACATCCAAGTCACACTGTATGATCCTGAATCCCGCATGTGTATACTTCAGCAGACAGATGTGCAAATACATGTTTCAGAAAAAAATGCTTTAAGGGTTGCATAGGGCCCTTCTTTTTCTTTTTTATATTTCTTTTTTTTTAATTTTATTTAAGGAGAAAAAGAAAAAAAGCAGAAAAAGGGTACAAGTTATACAGAATTTCAGAAAAAATAAATAGTAGGAATCACTAGTTAATAGATTACATATTGTCATCTTAGAAATAGTTGTTCAAGTTACAAAATTAAAGCGTATAAAGTGAACATTTCCCTTCTTTTTCAAAGCACAACTTAATGCAGGCCCCTCCCCACAGTGGGTGCTCACCAATGTTTGTGGGATTCATTCAACAAAGCTGAGCTCATTGACTTAAAAGATCAGACTTGGTTCTCAAGGTAGCCTAGATATATTTACTACTAAAACAGAATTTTAATTTACCATTTCCATAAACTTGCCTGCGTTTCTTTAGGATTCATTAATTCCAATCATTTTGAGCAAGAAAGAACTCTGCAGTAGTATAAGTAAAGGTTGCTCCACATCTGTGGAATGCATACATTTTCTCCCTTTGAAGTTAGGTTCTGGTATACAGAAGACTGGAAAGCAAAGCTCTGGATCAATTCTCTAGACCAGAGGTCAGCAAACTTTGACAGTAAAGGGCCAGATGTTAGTTAGACGTGTTAGGCTTTGCAGGCCATATGGCGGCAACTACTCAACTTTGCTATTACGCTAAAGCAGCCACAGACAATACGTGACTGAATGAGCCTGGCTGTGTTCCAATAAAACTTTATTTACAAAAACAGGCAGCAGACCAAATTTGGCCCACAGCCATTATTTCTAAACCCTGCTCTAAAATATTATTGTTAGTGTAAAACACTCATTGCTCAGGCTTCTTTCTTGTTGACATGTTCTGCTCAATCGAGTAAAAAATTACTATTTTGGTATGATTTAGGATTGTCTTCTATAAAATGCATTAAAGAAATTAAAGTTATTCAGTTAATCAATGCCAAAGAATTATATTTTCCTTGGGCAAAAAATGTATTTCTTAGATATTATTAGTCATTACCATGGTCTTAATTGAAAATATCACTTATAAATTGAAAAATAAGAAAGAAAACTGGGCTGCACTAATAAATTTTAACAGATATCAAAATACCTAATGAAAGAAAATTTTCAAATGCTTTTCTGATTTGCTATAGGATATCAAATATCAGTATTTTTCTGATTGGGTACCCTGACATAAAGATATCTGGTACCATGTGGACTAAGGGTTGGCAAATTGAATCATAGGCTAAATCCAGTCCTCTGTGGAAAAAGATGTTTTGGAACTTCGATTATACCCATGTTTGCACAAATTGTCTACAGGTACTTTAATGCCATGATGGCAGAGTTGGATAGTTGTAACAGCAGCTATTTGACCTACAAAGTGATATTACTTGTACTATGTTAGTAAAAATAGTTAGCTAAAATATTTACCATCCATCCTTTGCTGAAAAGCTTTGCCAACACTCCAGAGTGAATGAAACTACAAAATTTCATCTTGTTTCCTCTTGTTGCATTTTTTTATTAGTACGTATTGGTTATACAGATTTATGGGTTTCATCTGGCACTTTTGTACATGCGCATAACATACTTTGATCATTTTACCTGCCTCCTCCCACCATGTTTTGTTTCCTGCACAAGAAGTATCTGTTTACCTAATCTCTTAAACACATTTATGCAGAAAGACAAACTGAGATAATTTTATACAGGCTGGCTCTGGCCATACTCCTTGTTAGAAATAAAAGCAATAACCAACCATGTAAAATTTTCTGGATTGAGATCACCCTCTCTAGGACAGTAGTCCTGAAGAATCTGTTTAGAAAGCCTTGCTTCTCGAAAACAGTGCCCAGTAGTGTGTGCTCCTCCACTGATGAGTAATTTTTGCCTTCACAGCTCCCAACCCTCCCACAATTAGAGAAGAGCTCTGCACAGCTTCATATGACACCATCACCGTCCACTGGACTTCGGATGATGAATTCAGTGTGGTCTCCTATGAGCTCCAGTACACCATATTCACTGGACAAGCCAATGTTGTTAGTGAGTATCTCATGGCCTACTTACTTCTCTACTTACTTCTGTAGCTGTTTTAAGATAGATTGCATTTTTCAATTTAAACATCAAAGGAAGACAAGGAAGGAAAGAGTACATAATATTTAATGGCTTTGTCTTTCCTGACCAAGAAAGTGATAACACTTGTACTGTGCTAGTAAAAGTAGTTGGCTAAATACTGATGAAAATTAATGACTTCTTGTAAACTACATGCATGCATTTCACAAATAAATCGTGAAAGGAAAGATGCAGGAAACAAAAGAATATGTACAATGTGGATTGATTTATCAAGTCATAATTTAAAGATTGAAGTGAACTATTTACTTTAAAAGTTTCACCTAGCTGTTAAGACTATTAATACTAATCAGAATGATGGTTACTCATTGAATGAGAGGGAGAATGGCATACCTGGGAAGAAATGTTTGGACATTCTTGGGGTAATAGCAATTTCTGGGTGGTAGTTACATGCTTTAGTCATTACTTTATACGTCGATTTCCATACATTTTTCTTAGTATTATTTTACAGTTTTCAGAAAAAAAAAAAGAAAGGATTGAATAACCAAAGAATGCTAAATGCCTGGTCTCATTCAAAAGTCATTGGGGGCTATCACTTCAAATGCTCATAGTTGGCCCTTATGTGGAAAGAATTTCTAGCTCTACCCCAGAGTCCATCTCTCACTGAGGAGCTTTTGATGTTTGGCATCAAGGACAGTTTGGTGATCTCGAATAGCAGTAGCTGGCTGAGAGATGATACCAGAGGAAGCACTCCTCCTCACCCCACAATTACTACAGTTGAGTTGAGCAAAGAGCAGAGGATCAAAAGAAATGGCTTTTGAAGAAAACACATCTCAGACTTCTTTAGTGAAAGGAAATAGAGTATGTCAAAATAGACTTCAATAGAACAGACAAAATAGCAATCACTTTTCAACAAAGAGATGTTTTGAATAAATTCATACCAACTAAATGTGACTTAATTATATAAATTTTTTCTCTTCACTACACTGTTCTTTGGTGGCAAAAGTAGTTCTGCACACATGAAGCTTAAAATAGAAATTTGATTTATAATTAATTAAAGGAACAATGCAGAAAGACACCAATTTCTAAGTGACTAAAGTGTAAATGACTGATACCAACTAGTGACCCCTCTGACCTCTCGTGTAGCCACTTTTCTCATCTTATTCTCTCTGACCACCTCACCTTCATCCCCCTAATTGGTCTATCTTAGAAGTCTTAATTAAAATCTTACCAGTTTTCAAGGGTATGCAAATTTTGAGGGGAAGGGGAGTGTCATGAAATGTCACATCAAAGCAGCTTTGGCTAGCTGCCAAGAAAGTAGCAAGTAGAGAGAGGACTGAAGTCATAGGTGGAGCAAGAAGGTCTTTGGGAAAATTATGCCTGAACTGTCTTGAAAGGAAGTGGCTGTCTACCAGCGAGTTAGAGGTATTACAGATATCTGGGCATTCAGAGGCAAGGCAGTGGAGACAAAATGTGGCAGGTCATGCTGAGAAGTCTTAGAGATTCAGCCTGAGTGGGGGAATTCAGTGAGGAAGGGGAGACAGGGCAAAACCAAGAAAGAGAAGTAGAGCCAGAAACCAAATCTGTATCAACCTGGTTTCAAAAAGCATGTGTCCTTAGTCATTAGTAGTCATTTAATTTTAAATGGAGGCAACAGACAGATCACAGAGACACACAGCTTTATGCTGGGAACTTAGTAGTTGTTCAGGTCAATAGTGTGCACAATTAGAAGGTGACTCAGAAGCACAGTGGCTAACAGAATGGAAAAGAGCAAGACTAACAGCAGGGACAGCATTTAGGACATTCATAGTAATGCATAGAGACAATAGCCAGGACTCATTAATAGCGCTCAGAACAAAGATGAAAAGGAGATGCACTTCCAGAAAGACTTTTGTGCTGCTGGCCCATTACCCCTAGTAACATCATTGCTGTACTCACATATTTAAAGTGCTCTTGGAGGCAAGTTCTATGGCAATGCTTCGATGTCATTTCACTTTCCTTCCAGGATTCCTCATCTCCAGTTCCACATGCCCTGCAACAAGTCATGTACAAATCCCAATTCTCTCAAATAATTTCTGTGTGTGCCATACTACACACTGTTCTTCCCCTTGTTTGACCTTTTTTTACTCACTATCATATCTGAAAAATCATTCTATTTCAGCACAAATAAAGGTTTCATTTCCTTGTGAGACAGCATTAGTATCCCACTGTAAAATTGTACCCTCGTTTATTTAGCCTGAGTTCTGTTGATGAATATTTAGTTTGCTTCCAATCTTTAGCCCTCACTCTTTGCCTCAAAGAATACCCTTGAGTTTTGTCCTTTCACAGACAGGGAATTGTATCTGTAGTATAATCTCTTCAGGTAGATTTGCTAGGAAAAGATTATTTGCATTTTAATTTTGGTTTATCTTACCACATTGCCCTCCAGAGGGGTGACATATGATTTTTAAATACATTTTCCTAGCTGTACGAGTTTATGTTTCACTGATCTTGGACATATATACCATAAAATTAACATGAGGAACCTGATTTGAAGCAAAGTATACATATGACATCTACATGATGACATAATAAATCTGAAACTTATAGTACAGAAATCATAACACACTGACCTGCATACTACTATATGCTTAATATAGGAGAAAAAACACAACAATAAGAAGGAAAAATAATGTATGTCTTTTTGTATTCACTAAGGAATTACTTTTTCAATATTGTATGTCAATATTGCTAGTATATTGGGTAAACTAAACCATAAGTTATAGTCACAAGATAGTGAAAACACAAACTATTGATGAATGCGCATAATATAACTGCAAAAAAGAAAATATTTGTAGTCACTTTATGCCATATGGGTAGTTCTTTGCCTATGTGAGGAATATTAAGTTTCTTTCAAATTATTTTGTTTGATTTAGGAAAATTATACCTATTTTCTGTTGCTATAAAATTATTTTATGCAAACGTAGCAGCTTAAAACAGTATATTTCAGTTTCCATGGGTCAGAGCTCTGGCACAGTTGACCTGGATCCTCTTCATAAGGTTTCTCAAGACTGAAATCAAGATTTTGGCTGAGCCGTATTTTCATCTCAAAGCTCAGTGAAAGAAGATCAACTTCCTAGCTTCCTCAGTTTGCTGCCAGTGTTTGTTTCAGTATGGTTGTAGAATTTATGGCAAATTGCTTCTATACAGTCAGCAAGCAAAAGGAACTGCTACTTCAAGTCCATTGGCCCAAATTCACCATTAAAGGACATACTTGATTGGCTCAGACTGACCCTAAATAATCTTCCTTTTGATTAACTCAAAGTCAAATGATTAATGACCTTTATATTATCTGAAAATTCCCTTCCTCTTTGCCAATTACAAGACTTACAAAGGTGATACACTTTGTTTCTTTGCCATACTCTAGTTGATTTGAAAAAGATCACAGCTGATGCCTATGCTCAAGAAGAAAAGATCACACCAAGTCACCAATACCAGGGAGTACAAATCCTGGGGCCTACAGATAGTAGTGATGGTTAAGCTTAATAGTCAACTTTGTTGGCTTTGGTGCTGCCTAGCGAGTAAAGCATGCTCCTTGGTATGTCTGAGTGGGTCATGCATCCATGACCTAGAAGTCTATGTCTAGCTCCTGGCTCCTTCCTCTCTTTGCCATTCCTCTGCAGTGCTCTGCTTCCTAGCCACCAACTAGCAGCTCTGCTCCACCATGCTCTTCCATCACTGTGTTTCTGCTTTAGAGCCAGCAAACAGTGGACTCACTAATTCAAGACCACAAGCTTAATACACCTCTCTGCTTCTAAGATGTAGATGTCAAACCTTTTGTCTAACAAGGGAAAAACAACTGTATCTCCTGAACTTTTTTGAGTCAGATTATCATGGACCTTGAAAAAGCATATTGCCTCAGTCTGGATAGACAGGAGTTTTATCAGTTGATTTTTAAAGGATAGCAAATAGCCACAGGACCGAAGTAGAAAATAACAGTAAGCACTTATGGCTAGTGTTCCTGAAGTCAGCTGGTGGTCAGCTGGGAGGTTCCATTGATCCCTGCTTTGTCTCATGGCAGGCTGTTAACTGGGGCAGCTTGACTGCTGCCTATGTTTCTCATTTCCTTCTGTCCTCCTAATGGGTGCAGAGGTACAGATAGATGTAAGGGTAGAACCCACTGTACATGTGTGATTTAAGCCCTTGCCTTATAGTGAGTTTAGAGTGAGAATGAGAAGGCCTCCAAAGTTACTTAGCAAACAGCACCAATACAATGGGCAGTAAGGAATGGGGGCCAGAAGGTGATCCATTGTAGAACCCTACTTGGTATCAGTTACTTCATCTCCCAAATGAAAGAAAAATGTTTATCTCTTGAAAGTTAGTGGCTCACAGCTGCTAAACTAGGCCCAACTTCTCTACCATTCTACTGGTGTGGAAACTAATACCAAACGATGAAACAGAAATGAATGGGTGACTCCAAAAAGTCATGCCTACATCATTTCAACAAAAACAAAACTACTGAGCATAATGAACTCAGAACTTTTCCAGAGAAGGTATTTTGCTTCTGGAAATCAGTAACCACAATAAAATAAATACAAATGGATTAATGAAGACGGTAGACCTGCCTTATTTAATGCATAGGTGCTAAAGGGGCCCATTTTCCAAAAGTGACTGGGAAAACCATGAATCTGTTAATGTTTATCCAACCAGGATGGTTTCATAGGGTCATTCATCTCTTTATGCCCATTAAATCAGGATAGTGAACTCCTGATGCCTACTGAATCCGTTTACAACAAGGAAAGAGTACATTTAGATAGAAAATTAACTGAAATGCACACATTTTCACATTTTTTGCACATAAACCTAAATTTGAATCTCAACTTTGAACCTCACCAACTCTGTAATCTTGATCAAATGAATCTCCTCTCAATCTGTTTACTCATCGATAAGAAGGGCCAATGGTTTTAACTTCACACGGTTGAGATAGCAAGTGTTTACCACAGTGACAGCATGTAGATAGTTATTGTCCCTACAAAAATATACACTGCACTAACCCATCACTGCATATTAAAAGGGTATATGCCATATGATAAGGGTCAGTTGTGCAATTTGCCATGTAGATGATAGATTTCCACAAAATCTCCATATCAAAGGCTTTCCTTAAATGATGCCTGTTCATTTTATCATTTGGAGGTGTATGCTTTACAGATACTATATTGTGTATCAATCTAATAATAAAACTATTGAAAATGAGAAGATACACTATGTTTAAAACCTGCTGTGGCTTTTTATACCATAGATCTTTTAAAATTTTATTTAGGTCATGGGTTCTTGACTTGTAGTAGTAAATTGTGATTAATTGCCTTCCACTGTGTTTAGTGAAGAGAATTAGATAATATCTATGAAACATTTTCAATCCTACAAAGGCTCCCACCAATGAAATATGCACAAGTACATGCAAAATTAATAGCATTAGTGTTTTTTTATTTTTCATTTTTATTGGTAGAGTCATAGCTACAGATGTTAATATCTGGGTTTATTAATACTTTAGATGTACATTTAATTTTACAGTATTTTCCACATTTTTCCAAAACTAATTTTAATATTTATTTAAAAATCTTACATTGGTATCTTTTCTCAACAGGCTACTTTTATTATTAGAAAAAAACAAAAGCCACATTTCTTCAAGCCATCATGGTAAAGTGGTTACTACTATTTATTTTAGTCATTCTGAAAACATTCAGGAAACTTATTAAACACATACTATTTTTGTAGAGATGATGGAAAAAGATGTTATTTCATGTGATCTGTTCAAAGAGACAAAGGATGCTAGAAGCTAGTTATATAGCCTCTCCAAAGAGTGCCCACATTGTATCATGTTTGGGACATAATATTTGGCTCAATGTTATAGTTGTCATACAAGACTCAGAAGTCCTAAATGAAATTAAAAATCTTATAATGAGCTGTATTATGCAAGGAAGTGCTTCTGACACATTGTAAGTGAAAAAATGTACAGAATCAAAAATCTCAACTAGGCTTCATTGTAGACTAATTATCTTCCAAGTTCAGTTGTTGTTTTAATACTTCAAGCTGAGTTGGAGGAGGCAATCATTGAAACACCCTCAAAGATGATTGAAAATGACTTTGGAACCTAGTGAAATTTTAGTCAGGATGATTGTTGGGTGTTTCATAAAACGATGCATAAAACTTGGTTACCCATTCTAACGCAATGGGATGTCAAGGCAGAGAAATCTCACTTGAGCAAACTTGGCACTTGGTGCCGTGTGTAAGAAGTTAGGTGGTACTGGCTTAAAACCAACACTAGCCATGTAATAATGGTACCCTCCAAGTCACACCTCACTTAACTTCATCCCCCAAAAGAAATTGTCAAAGTTATTTTTTGGCATTTTAAATCAATTTCTGCATTATTATCTTGGCCAATAATAATAGAAAGGTAAACCCAAATAGTCATTATTGTTAGTATTCCTGAAAATAGATCACTCCAGTGTAAAGCTCGCCAATAAAATTTGAGTACTCATGAATATTTTGTTGTTTTAATATTCAAGGAAAAAAATTGTGACTGCCTCAAAATAATCAGGATCCTCAAAACAATCAGGATTGTTTGTTTGTTTGTTTGTTTGGAAAATGTTTCTGAGACATTAAATCTTTGTTGAGTTAAAGTTTTTGGCCTGTAGGCCAAGTTGCAGTTTCCAGCAATTTCAGACATCTGCTTTATGATGTTGCTGAAAGCATTCCTCCACCACATTAAACCCAGCTTTTGAGTTGTACAGTGATTTAAAGTTTATTGAAACATTTTTACATTTGCTTTCTTTGACCACAATCGTCATTTTATTGTAACATGTGCAATTAAACAGGAACAGTGAAAAAGCAGTGAAATTGATAAGATTCTCATTTGAATCTACTGAATGCTGTTATTGTTTTCATTCCTGCCTGACTGCTGTTAACAAAGATCTGGGAATATGAGAGGATTATATGAGGCAATATAAAAGCTAATTTTATTACTATTGTAATAATAGTACTAAATACCTAGCATGAGTTACAGGTCTTTTGGGGCCCAAAACTCAGAGTTCAACATGACCCATCTTGGGTTGGGTCAAAATTTAATATTTGGCTATGGCACTATCCAGAAGTACAGAGTTTATTACAAATGTGTTCCAGAAAATGGGAAAGCAAGAAAGGATCAACAGAGATGAATAAAAGGGAGATTCTCATGTTACTATACTATCTGTGGCTGTTTCTGGGATCTTACACAAATGAGACATGGCAGAATACAGGGATAAGAGCTAGGGGAAACTGAGGAAGGAAAAGTGGATGGTGCCTCTGCTTGCTTTACTACATCTCCAAATGTGCATGCACATGCACACACACGCACACCCATCCATACTTAGGCATTTATACTCTTCTGTGAGTCTCAATTTCCTTGATTTATGCTTGCTTCTCTAAATCTGGTAGTCCATCAGTGAAAGTGTTCACAGGTGGAAATGAAAAAAAGTAGTGGCATATATAAAAAGTCCCAGAAATATACCTGAAAATACTATGTACTCAATATACAAATCATATAATTGAATTTTGACAGGTGACAAAATACCAAAAAAGTTCTTCTCATCTATAAGAATACCAGGAATATTTAGTGCGATTCAAAGACAGACTTCAGGAAGCCTGTGACTACCTTGCATTGCTATGAAAATATTTGTGGTTCAATAGGTATATGCATTTGTGAATCTCTTTTTACAGAAAGGTTTTATTAGATTCTCAAAGGGGTGAGACCAAAAACAGGATTAAGGGACTGCTTCTTGAGAGTCTGGTAAGATATAAATTGCATCAAGATCAAAGGAACTAACCCTTTGATTTGCAAATTAACCAAAAAGGAAAGAGAGGAGAGGTTAGTCTGGAGGCCCTCAGGAAGTGAAGGGTCCAGCCCTCTCCCAGGGAATGGTGAAGGAAATTCAACAGAGAAAGGAAACTTCATGACAGCCCAGTCACCAGGGGGCTGGAAAAAAGTTCTATGGAGTGGAGATTGATGGGTGGAGAGAGCAGAGGGAAAGTTGGGCCTGATACCAAAAAGATGTTTCCAGCATCAGCCAGCTGCAAAACAAAATGGGCTTCCTTTTCCCTACATATTCTTCCAAGCATCATAAATCCTCAGTCTGCTTTTCAGCCACATCCTGCAGAATGCAGCCAGAGCAGCACCCTGCTTTACTCTGGAACCAGCCACCCCAGGGGTGCAGATAATTCAAAACTCCCTATGGGTGCTTTCCCATGGTCTACTCTGAACCCTGAGCTCCCTGTTCATGCTTCTACTCCAGGATCTTCTCATGAGTGTCTCCTGAATGTACATTAACTCTGGATCACAAACTAGCCTGATGCTCACTTCCTTATTCTCTCATCTGAAAATTGGAGATTGGTTGGGGTTGTCCGATCTCTGCTGGGCTTGCTCCTGGCTTGGCCTCCTGATAATTCTGTTCCCTATGTCTTCTTTGTTAGAATCGGCAGATTATTCCAGAAATTTTGTCCCTGTGGCAATGGCAGAGATCCAAGGGATCAACACAACCCCTGGAGGCCCTGTAACACTAGCTGTCAAAACTGCACCGTTGTCATTTTGGCCTAATCTTGTTGGTCAAAGCAAGGCTTGTGACCAAATACAAAACTGAGTGACAAGGAACTACATTCCACTTCCCTACTGGGAGTAACTATGGTCCTTAGGCCTAAATACAGGATTGAATAAAGAATTAGGAGCAAAATTGAAATCTACCGTATCTGTTAGCAAAGTTGGAGTCCAGCATATGACTCAGGTGTGCTGACCAGTTGTGAGTCTCAAAATTAATGAAGTCTAAAATTTAATTGACCAGTCTTATGAAAATGGAAGTGAAGGTAGGGTGACAGGAACCAGTGGTTGCTTTCATTTCATCCCCCAGCATCTATTAACACCTCATACACTTGTGTAGTGCTTAAGAGCCTAGGCAGAACCACTTTGACTGCTTCCATTCACAGAGCCAGATTTTGCAATATAACAATTTTAAGTGGCCTGTCCATCTCAAGTACACAAAAGGAACATATAATGTAGACTGACCTCTGGCAGTAGATAGGACACTGAGCATTCATTTGTTGGACAAGAAAAAGTGACAACAAAGCACTATGCTTACCAACCCTTACTGTTCAGGTAACCTGAAATTATGCAAACGTTTCCTATGTCTGGTTGGCTTTGCAGGTCTGTGTAACTCGGCTGACAGTTGGATGATTGTGCCCAATATTAAGCAGAACCACTACACAGTGCATGGCCTGCAGAGTGGCACCAAGTACATCTTCATGGTCAAGGCCATCAACCAGGCAGGCAACCGCAGCAGTGAGCCTGGGAAGTTGAAGACAAACAGTAAGTGCCATTAATCAGGGACAGTTCAGCCCTTTATCCCTCTTCTCCTACCCAGAGGACATTTAGCAATGTCTAGAAACATTTTTTGGTTGTCACTAACGGAGAGAGTGCTATTGGAATCTAGTAGGCCAGCAATGGTGGGAAGCATCGCATAATACACAGAACAGCCCCCACTGCAAAAAGTGATCTCACTTATACTTGTGTCTCAGACTACTGTCATCTCCCTGGCGCCGTCTCTGCCTACATGTGTTTTGCTTTATCCTCTCTTCTTTCTTTAAAACTTTTTGATCTAGAAATATTATGATATGTAACACAGTATTTCATTGCATAAGATCTCCCAGGAAATAAAGCAAATCAGAGTGTGTTAATATGGTGCCATATTGTGGACCAGTCAGTCAACAGGAACCAGGAAGTGCTTTTCAAGAGGAACTCTCACTTAACCATAGCCTTGATGTCCCAGTGTACTGAAAAACATGTGCTGGGTATTAGAGCGACAGCAAAGGGACATAATGAGAGCACTACCTAAGGACTGGAAGACTGAGGTTCAGCCATGTGGTACCCATGTGGCTCTGTGACTAGTTTCTTCATATTTTTCCACACAATCAGAATCTCATAACAATACTATTGTAGCTCACGATTCAAAGAATTGCTGAGGAAAATAATAATGCAAGACTATTTTTATATCACTGCATGCTTTAAAAATGTTCATATGCTATCAAGATACTGTATTTCTTTTTGGAAATTAAGTTAATCGGTACATTTTAGTCATACGTAATGATCACATTCATCACTGTGGACTTGTACCTGTATATATCTTGATTCTTCTTTTCTCTATTTCCCTACTCTCCTTTCAACCCTTCTTCCCCACCTTATTTACAAAAGCTTTGTTTGCATTTTTCTTTCTTTTCTCATTTTTCCCCTTCCCTCCTTTGCCCTTCTTCCCTCCCTAGTTCCCTTTCCCATTTGAACATTTTCTTCCTATTTCACCGCTACGTAGTGCATGGCCTGCAGAGTATATCTGGCATACATTTTCGTCCTTATTTATACTTTTTGTTTCTTACATCAGAGAAACAATGCAGCGTTTACACATGTGTGTCCGATGTATTTCACTTAGAATTGTGGTCTCGAGGTGCATCCATTTGGCTAGAAATGATTCTAATTTATCTATCTGTATGGCTGAGTAGTACTCCATTGTATAAAAAAGAAAAACACATCTTTATCCATTCATCAGTTGATGGGCATTTAGACTGCTCCTTTTAAATGAACATTGTGTTGGAATAACTACAGATTCACAGAAAATCTGTAGACATTACAGAGAGTTCTGTATAAACAGCATCTCTAGTGTCAATGTTATCATACATAACCTTGATACTTTTGCTGTAACTACCTATAAGAAATTAACATTGGTACATTACTCTTACCTAAATTTGAGACTTTACTTGAATTTTATCAGTGGTGTTACTAATGTTATTTTCCTTTATCAGGATCTTCTCTAAAATCTCACATTGCCCTTCATATTTCTTTACTTTTAAAATAAGAACACTTCAGTTTAATTTGTAGGCTGTCCAAGGAAAATCTCGAAACTAATTCTGAGTAAATAAAAAATAAATATAACATGATGGTATATGTCACAGTACTTGTGCACATTCTGATCAACCATTTTCGATTTACATTTAAACATGGTTTAGGGCCTTCAAAATTATGTTTGAGCAACAGGTGAACTTGAGATGCTTTGCAAAATGTTCAGGATACTGTGAAGATCTTCAATTTTTTTAATATGCATCTCACAGGAGTTTATAGATGATTTGTGAATAAAGAATGTTAATCTTTACTCACCATTCAATTTGTGATGCCTGAAATAGAAGCAACTGAAATAGGGTGCTGGATTTACAGGGGGTGCCCTGCCCAGCCATGGGGTTTTTCTTGGTGGGGTACAATTTAGGGATGTGAGGAGGAGGCAGTGTTCCATGCACAGGGCCCAACAGATAAGGGGATCCCAGAGATAAGGGGATTATGTTGGTGGAACAGAAAATTGATGAATATGGTAAAAGAGGCTTAGGTTGGGAAGATAAATGAACTCAAATGTCTGACACAAGAAGAGATTGTGAAATTCTCATGGGTGGTACTAGGGTGTTTCTTTGAAGAACAATGATGGGGGGAAACAGGTTGCAGAGTTTAAAAGGCAGGATGAGGATTCTCATCAAATGACACTCTTTTCTACTGTGACTGGTGAGTAGATTACAAGGAAGGGAGACTGATGAGTGGGCAGTGTTTCGGGAGATTATGGTAAGAATTGTCTAACTATAGAACAGTGGTCAGAATATGGTCATGCCTTACACAAATGTTCTGATGAACTAAATTCTTTAATAAAGTAACTATTCATTTTCTCCTTGAATTAATTGGTCCTTATGAAGCAAAAGCCTGAAATTTGGGCAGAGTGGGTAGTGGTTAATTTGGGAAATGTGCTTGGGACACAGACAGAATTTTGTTCCTTGAGAACATAAGATTGGACCAGCAAGACTGGTGGGAACTTGCTGGGAGTGTGACTGGATGGGAATGTGAGCCAAGGCAATCAGAATACTTCAGGAGGATCTCACCATTCCAAGCTCCATTTTTGTGCCACTATGCCATTCTGCTCTTCTTTGCCAGCAGCAGGCCAAGCAGCCCTCAACCTAATGTCCAGTGAACATTTATCTTTTACCTTTATAATGAAAGTATGTCAAGAAGTGCTATCTTTGTACTTGTCTTATCTCTAACAGTTTTTGTTAACAGTTGTTGGCATGTTCATCCCTGAGGATGACTGCTTGTTTGCCACACTAGTTATCTTGTTTTGAAATCCTGTATCACTTTCTTTGTTTTGTTTTGATTGGCTTTATTGTGTTTCATTTTGTTTGGTTTTATTCTGTTTAAAATAAAGAATAATTTTTAAAAGGTTTCAATATGAGAAACCTATACTTAAACTGCAGGTCTTATGGGCTCTGATATTGTATGCTCCCGGCTTATCACTTGAGGCTTTTATCAGCTCCCCCTTTTAAGGTGCTAGATAGATAGATAGATAGATAGATAGATAGATAGATAGAAAGATCTACATGTAGTAATATACACAAGAATACAATTGTAAAATGAGTCAGTAAACCATAACTCAAAGGCCAAATCTGAATGCCTATTTGTTTTCATCCATTTATCTTTCATCTATAGTTGCTTCCTTGCTACAATGATAGAGTTGAATAGTAATCATCAAAGACCACATGGGCTGCATAGCTGAAAATATTTACTACCTGACCATTTACAGCTGATCTAATAGAAAGAATTTTAAAGATATTTCTGTTATGATTTATCCAAGTAGTAACTGGAAATCCTTTGGCTTAGCCACATGTGACAAAAGCAATGTGCCCCCTGATTGCTGGGTCTGTTTTTCCACCAGCATCATGTATTGCTTTCGTGAAATTTACTGGACCTTTGTCTGTGATTGTCTGAGAGCTATGGACTGGGCAGGGGCTGCCAACTAGAACACCATGGCTTTTATTAAAAGGGGGTACCAGGACATTTAAATCCGGTTGTAACTTATTTCATGCCTTTAAATGCTCATACCCTATGTGGTATTGAATGACAGATATTAATCCAAACCAATATTGAAATGTCAAAGATGTAACAGCTATAACGATATGTCTATGTATGACTATGCTGAGATGTTTTAATGGTTAAGTCTTTAAAATACAAATGTGAAGAATAAAAAAATAGAAAGAGCTTTATTATGTATGTGAATAATCTCAGGAGTGTAAAACCTGGATATTGCTATCATATATTTTCCTGATTATGTGGGCTGAAAACTTTAGTTTTCTTAGTTATTCTAAACTCCCCAGAGTAGTCCTTTGATTTTTAACAATCTCAGGATAATGTAAACCTTTGTAATATTCTACATGGTAAGACCTGAGATCTTGATTCATATAGTTTCTGGTCTGAAGTCTACTGAGGGTCAATATGCTTTATTCATGATTGAACATGGTCAAAAAGAAAGTCTTTATTTTCTTCTTTTCTAGCCAGTCAGTATGTACCTGTATTGCTTGTTAGCAGGGGGAATGCTTACAGAAGCTTCTTCAGCCCATGATGAATTCTAGATGATCTTTGCTCATGCTATTGTTAAATAGTTAGCATAGTACCTCTGATTCCCTTAGAACAACACTGGAACTCATGAAGACATTAGTGTTCTACATTCTTACTTTGCTTGTCGTTATACCTTACACAGAGGTGCTGCTACTAACTATATTTTAAATATCATGAAAACTATAAGCAAATTCCTTTAGAGATGTTGATAACATTTATGTCACTGTTCACATACAAGACACTGCCTTATGATAGGAGCATGCCTCAGGGAGGAATGATCTGCTCCAGTCTTCTAACTCTGATTGCAAAATTATTCTATTGGTTATGTTCAAATAAACAGTGCTTTTCTACTTCCTCTTTTTGTTTTGTGAACTTATTTCCAGGCCAGCCATTTAAACTGGACCCCAAATCTGCTCATCGAAAACTGAAAGTGTCCCATGATAACTTGACAGTAGAACGTGATGAATCATCATCCAAAAAGAGTCATACACCTGAACGCTTCACCAGCCAAGGGAGCTATGGAGTGGCTGGAAATGTGTTCATTGACAGTGGCCGGCATTACTGGGAAGTGGTCATAAGTGGAAGCACATGGTAGGCAACTTATATTTATTGTTTTCCAGTTGTCAAAAGGAATATCTCATTGTGTACTTTGCCAGAGCATCAACCCATAACAGCATCCATCCTGAAAAATCCTGTGGATCAGCTATTACTATAATGGTATATAACAAATATGCCAAAATAGAGGCATCAAGCAACCACCATTTATGAGTATTAACTACCACCCACATCTATGGTTTAGCTGATCAGGACTAATTACAACTGGACTTCACTTTTGAGTGTAGGTTAGGTCTATGTCTGTCCTGTGTCTCTTCCTCTTCCTTCAATGCCTGGGCTACACAGGCCATGTCCTCAATAACCCAACAGGGGAAGCATGTTTCAAGCCTCTGTTGCATCATGTCCACTAACTTCCTATTGACCAAAGCAATGTGGAACATAAGAGTTCTGGTTCCTAGAAGAGCTATAATTTACAAACACTCCTTCTTCATACTTTAAAGCACAGATCAACACACTGCAGCCCATGGTCAAGCCTGGCCCAAGTCCTGTTTTTGTAAATAAGTTATTGTGGGTCTCGGCCATGCCCATTCCTTTTGTTTATAATTGCCTTTGGGATCCAACAACACAGTCAACTAGTTAAGACAGAATCATGTGGTCTGCAGAGCTGAAAATATTTGCTTTCTGCCCTTTTAGAGAAAAGATTTGTCTAATTTCTACTTTAACACACTAATCCCCATCATTAAAAAAACTATTTTCTGTTGCTTTGTATGTTTTGTGATCAAGTCTGAGTCAATTAGTGTAAAAAGCTAAAAGCTGAGTGAATAGCGGTTAAGCAAATATGATAGAATGCAAATAATTTCAAGAGGTCTATTAGAGCCAGCCCAGGGACTTTAGCCCATTGAGTTCTTGAAGACTAAAGGATAAAGGCAGGATGCAATCTACATTGGAATTTGTTAGCTCTGCAAAATTGGCCTTCCCTAATGCCCAGTCACAAGTGGCATTTCTCCCTTTGGCCACCTCACAAACGCCTGCTTAATGTTGACCAAAAAGGGACGTGTTTTGTAATTTTTAACAAGCCTTTGTATGGCACAGCTATGTGCCAGGCAAGGCACTGTTCTAAGCATTTTACAGTTGTTAACTTGTTTTTTCTTCATAAAGCCCTACAAGGGTAGATGCTAAAAGTATCCTATTTTACAGATGAGGGAACTGAGACACATCTCCAAATGTGTAAAACTTACAAAGAGCAGGGCCAGAAATTCTACTACCAGGGATCAAGTTCTTAACCAGGAGTCTACAAACACTGTTGGTAAAGGGCCCAGAGAGTCAATATGTCTGGTTTTGTGGACCAGAAGATTTTTGTCCAACCTATTCAATTTGGCCATTATAATGGGAAAGTAGCTACAGACAATACACACACACACAAATGAGTATAGCTGTGTTCCAAGAGAACTTCTTTTATAAAAATAGCCAGAAGGCCAGAGCTGACCCCAACTTGTAGTTTGCTGATCCCTGCCCCTAACCACCATATGCGGCTATTGACAAAAGAGTGACAAGTTGTTTTTTTTTTTTTTAACTATAATTACTCTTTAGGACTTAGAGTAGTGTATTTAATGAATGATACCTTCACCCTTGCTTTAAAAATAAAGACAACACTCAAAACTACCTAATCTGAAGACATCCCTGCAAAAGAAAATGTTTCTTTTGATATAACCATGATAGAATTCTTATTTTAAAAATACTCTGCCATTCAAATCTACACAAATAATGCAATGTATAAATCTTTGGTAATGTAGGGACAAGTTAGCCTCAATGTAACATGTGAGATTGTAAGCTTGGGTGGTCCATCTTTCTGAATCATGACACCTATCCTGGCTAAACCAGTAAGTTTTTATATACTATTTTCCTCATGATTCTCTTCATATAGAACATTTCCTATTCCAACATCTTCCCAGAGGATGGAGGATAAATCCTTTACCTTACTAGGCTTTGGGCTAGTCTGACATTTGCAATTTTTACCTTCTCTGTGGCAAAAATAAAAGCACAAAGGAAAATACCAATGTGCAAGAAAGCAAACATTCCTAGTTAGTTAATGTGCTGTTTTAATCTGACATGGAATCCAACATCCAAATGAGTATAACTCAATTAATAATTATTTATGATAAATGATAACTGATCCTTATGATCTCATTGCCATTGAAGAATTGTATGGAAAATTCCACCAGAACACTTCACTTACATAAACACAAATCACCATTACCTTTAAAACACCATCCAGATATCAAATCAGCTCATGAGGAGGAACAGAAATCTTACAGTCGATTGCTACATTTCAGATCTTTACAAACCTGATTGTGTCAACTTTAGAACATCCTCATATAGCAAATGGTTTCACATTTCCTGGAAGGTTTTAGTATTCAGGAGTGCCCCCAGTGATTAAATGCCAGTGACACCTTGATTGTAACAGCTAATAACACATGTATTTTCTCAAGAAATATAGTCCTGACTTTAAATTAACATGTACATTATGATCCGTGCAATGGAGCATGTTAACATTGCTCTAAGAAACAATTTTTATACTTTTTGAATTTTCCATGTCTCACTGCGTAACTTAATGGGACATTACATGCTGCTCGCATGTGCAGTGGAAATATGTACATAATTTTAGAGATTAATGATAATATAATGGTGTTTTCCTTTGCTTAATGGACTGTACACGTGGTTATTTTCTTACTGTCTAATGCTGTGAATGTGCACTTAGTGTTTTATGAAATGCTGTTAACTAAAGCAGTAATAATAGGTTCAGGCAATGTTTGCTAGACTAAAAATGGAGGGGCAGCACAAGATTTCTGAAGTTTGCTCCTACTTTTGACTTTCTGTCTGTTTTCTCATTGCTAAATGAAGTCAGCCATCTCTGCTGCAGCAACCACAGTTAAGATTGAAATGAGAAATAACACCCAGATTCTTTAATAAAAGATTAAAATAATATGCAGCAGCAAGAAAGAAACAATACAAATGTGGTCATTTTGTGTTGCAGATGCAGGTCCCAAATTACCTGAAAAAAGTGAAAATAAAATCTGCCAAGGCATTAAGAATGTCTGGGGGGAGAGATTTTTAAATTACAAAATGAAAACCTTTCCAAAGTGTTTCAGTTAAGGCTCAGAAAATAAGCAGAAGTCAATCAAGGTCCTCCATGGAGAAAGGAAGCCAAAAATCTACAGCCTACTGGCAGAACCAAGAATACAAGTCAGCAAGTCTGCTGCTCCATTGCCTGGAGTCACAGTGATCTGCTCAAGTCCAAAGCAGGTGTAGACAGGAGGTCTTCCAAAGCTTCCACAAACAAACCTCACTTCCTTAGTCTGCCAATGGAAGAGTGTGCTTACTCCTCTTATAACTTCTAGGTCTTGTGCAAAGGTGTTGCAATAGCAGAATCTGGCCCAGAATCCTATAGGAAAGGGCATTCTGAGAAACACAACCCAGTATTCTCCCTGGGAGTAGAAGACTGACAAGAGGAAAGAGAGGATGCTGCATTGTCACAAGATGAGCCAGCACATGACTTTAACAGATTATCCATTCTATCTTCTTTAGGAATTCAGTGATGGCATGCTGTATTAATTTTCATTTCAACATGCCACTCTTAACGGGACTATATTTTAAAACTAACGTGATTTTAAAAGAATGTCATTTTAACAAAGACCAATAAGTTTTTCACTCTGCAATGAGTAAGGTGCCATATGTCAATATCCAGTTACACCAGTTTCTGCTATAACATATTAAAAATTGAACTGCTAGTCATTCACTGTTTATTAAGAGTGATGTGTTTTGCCTATCTTAATAACTGTGAAATGCTTTAAATAGTGCAGGACATGTCTCAAGGAGGTAAAAAGAGATTAAGGCGCTTAGAACATGGTAGAAAAAATTCTTAAGATTTTTTTTTGACCAGTTATAGAATATTTAGAATAACTGGATATCTGTCACTCAAAGATATTTTAAAAATCTAAAAGCAGAGTAGAAAATACAATCAGGAATGTTTTTGGCAATGATGGATTGCACAGTTTCTGTTGAGGGAAGGCATTACAGAGTGTCATTTTAAGTTTTTGGCCTTTTGAGTAATTCTAAATTCAAATTGTCATTCTTGTACTAATCACGTATGCAGCATCAGACGATAATAATAAAATAATATTTACTGAATATTACATGCCAGGCCTTGTACTCAAGATTTAGAGTACATTTTTTTTCTTACTGGAAAAAATAATCCTGGAAGATGGAGACTAGCATCATTCCTGTATTATAGATGAGAGACTGAGACAGATTATGACAAGGGATTTATCCTGCTAAATAAAAATCATTCTTCCTGCTTGCCTTTGCAAGTGCACGCAAAGTCATGGAAAGTGACAGACACAATGTCAACTGAAAAATTTAAAGAAGGTCAAAAGGACAAATCTAGGGTTACATTGATATGATATGGTAGCCATGAGCAGCATGTAGCTATTTAAATCATTTAGCTTGAATTAAATTTAAATGCTGATTCTCCTTCACTTTATTATAGGGTTACACCCTTGTAACGCCAAAGTAAAATGAAAATATCATGTCACTGTCCAACATAGTGAGAGAGGGTGATATTGCATTTCACTGGTCCAGGAAAAGATTAAAATTCAGAATTTAAAGGATAATGCCTACTAAACATATCTTACTTTGCACCATTATAAAGTCAAAGCCTCTGCAAGTCAACCGTCCTATGGTGGGGAACCATCTATAAATTTAAAGTTGAATTTCAAATCAGAATTAGCAGTTGCAGTGATTCAGGTGTCCAATAACCCATGTAGCTCATGGCTCCCACACTGAACAGAGCAGAACATTTTGATCTTTGCAGAAAGTTCCTTTGATCATCATTTGTCCAAAGAATTGAATGTGCAGTAATTTATGAGGGAGAAAATAAAACAGCAAAACTCGAAGTTCAAATATACTGGCTCCTACCCACCCATTCTATGTTTGGGAGGGAAGAAGATGAAGAGCACAGGTGGTGGGTTTTTGCCAAGTTTCCATATGAAAAGAATGAAACAGGAATAACAGGTGATCGCTTTTTTATGACCCTTGAGGACCATGGGATGGATTTACGCACATGTGCACTGTGGATCGTTGTTTTCAGTGTGCCTGTTCTGTCTCTCCAGGTATGCCATCGGCCTTGCCTATAAATCAGCCCCAAAGCATGAATGGATCGGGAAGAACTCTGCGTCCTGGGCCCTCTGCCGCTGCAACAATAACTGGGTGGTGAGACACAACAGCAAGGAAATTCCCATCGAGCCTGCTCCTCACCTCCGGCGTGTCGGCATCCTGCTGGACTACGATAACGGCTCCATTGCCTTCTACGATGCTTTGAACTCCATTCACCTCTACACCTTCGATGTAGCATTTGCGCAGCCTGTGTGCCCCACCTTCACGGTGTGGAACAAGTGTTTGACGATTATAACTGGTCTTCCTATCCCAGACCATTTGGACTGCACGGAGCAGCTGCCCTGAGCATCTGGTCATCAGAGCTGCTTTCTAGGGAATAACAAAAGTTTGAGGCCGCTATTTAGGTGATGAAGAAAACACAGGCTTCAAGAGTGTAATTAGATCTCCCCAGAAAATGTCCAGAAATCAACGAAAACGGGGCTCAAAATAGATTTCTTTTCTTTTACTGTGTTTTGTACTAAGGGCAGGCTTTAATAATTTCTTTTTTTTTTTTTTGTATTTAGAGGAAAATATAGATTATTTATAAAAAGAAACATAATCGGGATTACAACTCTTAGAAAGTTCATGGTTTTGCACATTAAGCAGCCCATAAGTTTACCAGCTCTTACAAGTTTTGTTTCATCACACTCTATGGGCCTGCAACGACAACACCACCACCACCAACAGCAACGCACACACCCCTTTTGTAGATTTGTATGTTAAATCACCTTCTCACACAGTATTTCATACTGAGCCCATGGCAGGTCCTATCACTTCGACAGTGCGTAACAGAATATGCAGCTGTTTAATGATAAAAATAATTTTGAACCCAATAGGGAAGTAAACATGCTTTCTTGCTCTGGTTTAACTTGAAGCATTTTAACTGTAATGTAAAAAAATTTAAATCATGTATTTAATCAACTAGAATGGAGAGTAAGTGAGAAAGAAAGGAAATAATTGACTTTGGTTCTCAGATTCAGCCATGGCTCAGTCTTGGCTTTCTGATGGCGGATGGGATAATGGAAAGAAAGGTTCTGGAACCTTTATCCATGTATTTCCCCATTTTTTGCAGGGCTAAGAACTCTGGGATAACATTATGAATGAGATCACAATTGAAAATAGTTGCTTTGAACTCTACAGATTAACCAAAAGTTCAGGCTGATTTGTGTTTTATCAGAAGAAAGATTTTATTTCGTGGCATAAAACTACTTCATTCTTCTTCCTAGTAGTTTTCTTAGAGCTGCGAAATTTCTTCACTACAGTTAATAGTTGACCAATTTCCCCTTCCCCAAATCAAGTTTTCTTTTATCTCTGGGGCTAAGGAAATAAACACATATTGTCATCAATGACATAACCACTTCGGATTGATTTTGCTGTTTGGGACATCAGCACATGGTCCCAATCACCACTACCACATCCAAATATAAATCACTGAAAAACACTTAATATTTATGAGTTAGTAATGACAAGGGACACTGCATAAAGTACTGTTCACAAGTATATATGCCTCAAAAGTTATTATAAACATGTGTTTATTAAACACATTTTGAAAATTGTAGAAGTCCCTCTATAGTATAGTTTACCATAGACTTGTAATATGAAAAAAAAAATTCAAGCTCACTATTTCACAAGAAACCTGCTAATAAAACTTGCTAATCAAATAAATGTCAGATAAGATTCTTTGCATGCTGATCCCAACACATTGTAATGGTTCCTAAAATAAGGCTTTCTCAAGTAGTCTTTGGACTGGGACTTAGGCATTGGTTCTGTCTTGACCATATGTGTGACCTCTAAAAATGGTTTCAATTGCTAAAATATTTATCTGGGCTACTGAGTCAGCCATTGACTGAACAGTTGAGTGGATATAGACATTGTTTCTAAATAATTTTTTAAACCAGATCAACCAATCATTTCCCTGAAATAAGTCAATAGGCCCATTGTTTCAACATCACATGGCCAAAGTTGTATGATTGCCAAGCTGAACTTCATGAAAGACCAAGCCAGTTTCCTGGGTCCTTCTGTCTCTTCTTTAGCAAATGCTCTCCTTTTTCTTAATGGATAGATTCTATATATTTACTATATTATTTATACCCAGATGAATATTTTGATAGCTACTTAAGATAATATCACATCTAAAAATGAACATCTCAATGGAGAAAAAATTAATCATTCTCTGGCAGCTTAATATGAGTTTTTTTACAATATGAAAACCCTGTGTGTTCGCCTTCCCTGAATAAACCAAAAGGGTTGCCTCAGTAATTTTTACGTACATTTTGGGTAACTGGATAATGGATATTTTAATGCACTTTGTACACTTACAGGTTCTAAATAAAAGGGTCTAAAACTCAATTTCTGAGTTTTAAAAATCATAGTCTCCAGGTACCAATAAATGCTACAGTTTGCCTTATGATGCTAGCATAAAGCATTTTACTAGAAGGACACTATTTCCATGAATATAATGTTTTTTAATATCAAGATGTTACTAAAATTTTCTCTGCAAGCTATGTAGGGTATGTTTGGCTATTTTTATAAGGGCAAGACAGATTATGTTATAATTTTGTGGAAGACTCACTCATGGCTAAATTAAAAATGTGGATGTAGCAGTTACTCTTTCCAGGTTGTCATATTTACAGGAAAATATGTATATGCTGAAAGGCCACAGTGTTTACTTAATAACTGTAATGATGTAGAAAAGATTTCCATGTGGATTTCTTAAAAGTCTAAAAAATATATGCCGTAAACTTTTACTGCAGTATAATTATGTATTCTCTTTAAATGGATTAAGGTCACAATATTTTATTTTTCAAGGTCTTCACAGGAAGCATTTTGATTTAGGGACAAAAGAAATGACAGTGCCAAATAAATTAGCACAACAAACTTGATGGAATGCCAACCAAGGTTGCAAGCGCTGGCATCGCAGATGTGTGAGCGGCTCATTGCCTAGAACACAGGGCTCTCTGAGGGGTTGTAAGCTTAGTTTGATGCTCTCGTTTTACTGTCATGAAATTCTTAATAATTTTCCAACAAGGGGTCTGCACTTTCATTTTATACTGGCCCTGCAAGTTTTGTAGCCAGTCTTTATAGTGGAACTCAGAAACATGGTACCTCTTTTTCCAAGTGGATAGAAATGCATAAATCTAGATCCAAAGTTGAAAGTTGCTGGCCATAGCATTCAAGTAGCAATCTAAAAGGTGCATTAAGATGAGGGTGGGCCTAGCTGAACATTTTCTTTCCAGCTTTAAGAAAAAAATGACTTCAATAACTGACTGCAAACACTGATGAAGGTTTCTGCTGGAGAAGAAGACACAGCTTGAGTACAAACGGGGTTTTTATTATGGTACTGATATGTTGACTTTAAGCTTCTTGAGGAACCGAACTAGTGCCCTCCATTCAACATGGAATTGTACCCCAGCTCCAGGCACATGTAGTGCCTGCAGAGACACGTGCCTGTATGCTCATGTTCATGCATATTTGGTGTTGGCAAGCTGACACTTGGCCTTCCTTGATAAAACATTAAAAAGCATACAAAGACAATGATGACAGCAAGAGGAATTTCTTGAAAACAGTGCTTCTCATCCAGGGCTTGATTTTGCCCCCAAGGAGACATTTGGCCACGTCTGGCATCAATCTTCATTGTCAAAATCTGGGGCAACAGTGCTACTGGCATCTAGTGGGTAGAGGTCTGGGATGGCATTAAATATCCTACAGTCCACCATGTAGTTCCTCACCACACATAATTATCTGGCACAAATTTCAAGGTCTATCTTTGTTGGTTGTTGGCTTTTGTAAATGCAAAACTCTCATAAATGCCTTTTACTCTTGCAGTAAATGATTCAGTGCCCAATAAAAGAAAAAGCAGGAATCATCAGTTCACTTCACTACAGTGGCTCCCTTACTTTCAAGAATATTTATAAAACGCTGAAGAACTCAAATCTGTGCAGCAAGCCAAGCCTATGTAAGTGGGAGTCACTGATAAGTATCACGATCTGTCTGAGCTTAGTTTGGAAGCGAGAAGCGGGCTTTCTGACTCCTTGCACCTGGACAAATTCAAACCCTGAAACTTGAGTCACACTGCCACACCCTCAATTCAGACTGTTCTTTTCCTTGCTGTTGCTTCCTGGTTCAAAATAAAATCATTTTTGTGGCACCAAAACAGGTCTCTGCCTGTGTCTGTAGCTTTTTCATCATGTGTTTTCATATTTATGGTTTTCACAAGTAGGTCTTCAGATTCTTCTCGTTTTCCACACTATTTTGTGGAATACAGTGCCACACAGCTCATTTCCTATAATGTCTGAAACTCTCACACCTACTACCGCTCTCCCTTCACAATACACTTACTGTACAAGATAAAAAATATTCCATAAGGAATTTTAAAATGCAATGATAGAAAACTGATGGGAGAGTGAAAGGCTAGAGCAAGGATTTCTTGATGTCAATACTTACAGGTGAGGTTGGGGAGGGGAGAGCAGTGACTAACAGCAAACGTGTGATAGCCTTTTCTACATGCTCTTGGACAATCCCAGAAGCTGCTCCATAACTGCGTGCCCAACCCTCTCCCACAATCCATAGAACTCAACTCTGGCATTTAGAGGTGTGGCCCCTTTGGTCTCGAGCAGTGCCACATGTGTTCGACAGGGCTTCAGTATCAACACTGCTGCCAAGCTGTTCAGAAGGTCAGTTATGCCTCCCTCTAGGCCTGTTGGCCAGAAGCTTTGTGAGTAGGACCAAGCAATCTTACGTCCTGACAAACAACTGCAGGAGGTTCTGATACTGTGGGTGGTTTGTGAGGTGCTCCTTTGTAGAGCTTTACCCAACTCACAGTCCACATGAAAAGGTAATTACAGCTTGAAATGTGTTTTCAAAGCAACATGCTTTAGAGGCAGTGTGATGTAATCCAGGGATTCTCCACCTGCCTCTGCATAAAATCAGCTTTCTATGCCGGTTGATTCCTGGATCCCATCCTGAAAGATCAGAGATGAAAGGTTTGGGAATATGATCCAGCATCCTGTTTTTTTTTTTTTTTTTTTTTTTTTTTTTTTTTTTTTTCTTAAAACAAATAAGTGAATCTAAAGAGCAGCCAAGATTAGCAGTCATGGGTGGATATTATAGGGGGCAGGTAGTGAATTTAATTTGCAGACTGTATTGTCTCTGTGGAAACTACTCCAGTGTGAATATGAAGAGAAAACAGCCATACAGAACATGTAAATAGATGTCTGTGGTTGTTTCCAATACAACTTTATTTACTTGAACAGGCTTTGGGCTGAGCTTGGCTTCTGGGCTCTGTTTTGCTGACCCCTGATAAAGTAGACATTGAACTAGACTGGTAGTGTTCCATAACTCCTTGTTTGCCATGACTCAATTGTGTCCTTTCATGTTTCACTGAGTTCTAAGAGCCCTTTCCAACACTAAACTGTATCAATTCTGTCAAGTCATGGAACTTGTGGACAGTTAGTTATGGAAGATGGGACCACTCCATGGGTATCAGCAGATCTGCTCATTCAATAGACTGGGGTAGAGGGTGCCAGGCTCTAATGATTAGCTTTATCCCTTTCATAATTTTAACTCAAATCAGCCCCTCGCACAAGTAACAGTTATGTAAAGTATATTCTTTTTGATAAGCATTTTGAAGACATTTAATCTGAAGTTTTGAAACTGAACAGCCACCACTACAATTAACCACCTTTTAAAGATAGCTGGAAGGGCATGTCATGCGCTGCAAAGGGTGGCCCACGTCTCACCTTTTTTTAATATACAAGTAAAATATGCCGGGGAAGGCATTTGCTTGTGATTATACTTGAAGAACAAAAAGGAAAACAAGGAAAACTTGCAAAATCCCTTTGTCTTGAGTACCATTCTCACTGTAAGATGCACAGTTAAGAAAGTAAAATAAAAATGGGTTGAAAAAACCCCTTCTTATCATTGTTCTAGCTCAGTGCAGGACACTTATGAAAAGGAATTAAAGTCTCTCTTTGGGTTATTTTCAACCATGTCCTCCTAAGAGAATTATTAAAGCGTGATTAAATAGGAACCACCACAATTAATGAGCAAATATGTCATGGCCAAAACCCAATTACCAATTAAGGGATGGCACAGGAAAATGACTTAATGAACATTGGTTCTCTTGCACAGCCTATTTATTCTCAAAGCTCAACTTTGATTATGGTCATTAAAAGCTGTTCAATTTCACTAAAGCATTTCAAACAATAATGCTGATCTTCCCCTTCACTAACCTTATAATCCCTCCAACTTCTGCCCTCCTGCACATCCTCTTCTCTATCCAGCATCTCTGAAGGCTGTTCACACCAGCTGTTTCAGACTTTGCACCTACCACAGCATCTCCCCATATTTCAATGGGAGTTCAGTATTTTGTTTTACCGAAGTGCTCACTGACATTAAAAATATAGCCTGCATCAGTAAAGTGCAAACATTTTAGATATTTGATTAACTTCCTCTAGACAGGCAGCAGCTTTTTGAAATATTGACCACATCATTCTTTTTTAATTCTTCCCTAAACAGCACCATCCACAGCATCCCATCAGTCACAGTCTTGTGCAGCAAATTCCCAAGTTCAAACTTCTATGTCTGATTTCTCCACTGAGCTTAATTCTACACATTGATTTATTTTTTGACAATCACTTTTGGATGTCTAAAGAGCCCTAAAGTTCAGCACATTTAGAATTGTGTTCATGACATGCCAGACAGCTTCCTCCTAGACAAAAGGTTGCGTGAGCCAAAAGCTGAAAGCCTGATGTTTCTCCCCACTATGTCCAATCCATCACCAAGGTTCGTTGACTTTATTTCTTAAATATCCCTTTAATTTACTCCTCTCTACTTCTGCACTCAACCTCTATGTCTGAGCTTTCACATTTCCTACCGTTACAACTGAAAATAACCTGTAATCCACATGACATTTTCTCCCTCAATTCATTCCCCAGGGCAGCCAAAGTAATTTCTGAGTTGGATCATATCACACACACCTCAACATATTCTTTCCACCACTCTCATCCTCACTCCCAACCTCCGCATATTGACTAACCTCCCAAAGTTTAACACCTACTTTCTAGGACACTTTTCCATAGTGTGCAGAAGCCTCGCTGTGAATTTGTGCCTGCATAGCTCATCAGCATCATCTTGGACAATTCTCCCCTTATTTCCTGCACACTAGTCACACTGGGTATAATAACTATGCTCTGGTTAGCCACAAACCTCTACTTGGACCACACTTCCCTCACCTTCTGAGCTGCCGCTAACACTTCAACTTGCCTCTCAACCTTTGGTTACTGGAGAAGGTTTCCTGATGTCTGCCTGAACTAAAGCCCCCTAATAGTGGTTCATAAAGACATCTTCGCCTCCCTATGTGTTTTTCAGTTGGATTTTGTATTTCTTGCGCAAGCTTTGTTCATCATTTCTGCTCAGCCCCCTCCACTCTCCCAGGAGACTGTAACATCTCACAAGGCAGGGACCTGGGCTGGCTTATTGCCATACTTCTTCAGTAGCTGCACTCACCTTCCCAGAAACCTAACTCCCAATTCTGCACTGCAGCATGGCAGAGTCCCAGCCTCCTTCAGTTCTTTTCAGAGGCTATCATAGATTCTCTGGCCTTGACCTCCTTCTGAGTTATCTCCGCTATGAATTTGGACACCCCAGGTGGCAGCAGGACTCTGCTTGGGCTTTCGCTTGATACCTATGTTTCTTGCTTGTTGAACACCTCAGATCACAACTCGGTATCCCCAGGATGCTTCTGCACATGTGCTGATTTCTCTAATTCCTTTATCACTTCAGAAATTGCTTTCCTGCCCCCAGGTCTGTCTTCTTTCCGCCCCTAAAATTAACTGATCACTCTCAAATTTCCCAAAGATACTGTGACTCAAGGAAAATTCCATGCTTATCTATCCTGTAATGTATGCAAGGTGTAAGAGCCTAATTTGAAATGGCAAAGATATTGATAAAATTAAAAGTAATGATGTAACAAAAGGCACAGCATATAAACACAGCATATAAACAAAGCTGGGGTGACCATATTAAGAGAAGACATACTAGACTTATGAACAAGGAGCTTTCCAGAAATAAAGTTTGATGCCACATAACAAATGGGTCCAAGAAAAGCTACCAACCTTAAGTTGTGTGCATTTTACAACAGATCTGCAGAATCTGTGAAGCAAGAAATGATAGCTTTGAGAAGAGAGATAGCCAAATCCACAATTATGGATGGAGACTTCAACATTCTTCACTCAGTAACCAATTAAACAATAGAAAATCAGCAAGAAGTAACTAACATTTGCAATGAACTTAATTAAAATTATAGGCCACTCCACATGTTAACTTCAGAATAAACGTTTTTAGAGTGTTCTTTGGATATTTAATAAGATTAACTATATTTTGGGTCATAGAACAAATGTTGACAAATTTTAAAATCTTGAAATAATAACAATAATGCTCTTGGATGACAATAGAATAAAATTACAATTCAATAATGTAAAGATATATGCAAATCTCAAATATTTGTTAATTTAATTTTTAAAAAAGAATTTTTCCAGATAATTCTTAGGTAATTTAGGAAGTCAAATCATAATTTAGAAAACTTTTTAAATTGAACAATAAGATATAAAACATATGAAAATATTCAGGACACAGTTTAACCCATGCTTAGAGAAATTTATACCATTAAATGCTTGTATTATAAAAGTAGAATGTCTCAAGTCAATTATCTAAGTTTTCTGTCTAAGTGATAAAAAAAGACCAAATTCACAACAAAGAAAGCAGTAGGAAGAAAATAGCAAAGATAAAAAGCAGAATCAAAGAAATCTGAAGACAGAACAAATCAGTATCACCAAAAGCTAGAATTTTAAGCTATCAATATAATTGATAAACTTCTACAGAGTAAAACAAAAGGAAAGAAAACAAAACTTAAAAAATAAAGAAGACACATTTCTATAACTCCTCAGACACTAAATGATCAAAATGACAATATTACAAACGACAATTTAAATGAAATTGACAAATTTATAGAACAACACAGATTAAAAAATTCAATAAGAAATAGATATCATGAAAGTCTTCTATCTGATAAAGAAACATATGAGCCTCAAGAACCAGTAATCCAACAACTACGCAAGAGCACTGAAAACATGTTCACTCACTAAACTATAGGGA